GTCAGTCTACGTTGACCAATCTCTAGTTAGTTCTTTCCAATTGAGAAGTCAATCTTAGGACCTGAGAGGGAACAGGATTGCAATTTTCCATCACTTTGAGAGCCTGAACCAGTAACGTAGGTTCTAAGTAGTGAGATGGTTTTGATTCCAAGCTGAGGGGAAGCAATGAATGGAAATGTGGTCTCACTTAGTGCCAACTATTTTTATCGTGTACCTTTTTTTTTCATTTCTAACAAACTGATTAACAGTAAAGAGATAATTACAAATTTATCGTGAGTTCTGCATAAATTTCATTATTAGATACAAAGACATTTTGCTTTTTAAAAATTAAAACAGTATCAAATCAAAATGTTATCAAACATTTCTAACAGAAAAATAGTATAATGAACCTTTATTATCCATTACCAGTTTCAATTCTTAGTAACTGACACAGCAGCCCTCCTTCCCATTCCCCTTTTTAGTTCTCCTACACCCTGGTTGCCTGATTAAAGCAAATCTCATTGTTACGCTCATTGTTACTTTAACAATCAGCATACCATGAAAACAATCTCAATGCCCCCACCCTCTCAAACAGGGGCATTTCAAAAAGTTTGTGCAAAGTTTAAGAAAAAACTGCAAGAATTTAAACATTTCTTATATCCACATAAGCTTACCTTGTAATGCAACTTTCCCATAAACTTTGTCAGCCTAGTGTAAGGGTGCTTCATAAAGTATTTCAATGTTTCTCACTATTCTATATTTTTTTTTGTAGTTCCTTCAAATTAAGATCCAAATGAAGTCCACATGACCCAGTTGGCTGATATGCCTCAAAAGCCTTAGTAAATTCTCTTTCAATCTGTAGGTTCTTATAACTTTTTCACTGAAGGTTTTCTTTTCCACATTCTTAACTCCCCCCACACATGTATTTTTCAAGGCAGAGGGAGGGAGAGGGGCCAGAGATACCTCTTTACTGGTTCATTCCCAAATGCCTAAATGGTTGGGGCTGAGCTAGGCAGAAGCCAGGAAATCCACATTTCCAAGTTGGGTAGCAGGGACAGACCCAGTTCATGTGCCATCATCTGGTGCTCTCCAGAGTGCATTAGCAGTAAGTTGGAATCCAGGGAGTGGAGCCAGGACTCAAAACCAGGTAGTCTTGATTAGACATACTGGCCTCCCAACCAGCATCTTAACAGCTAGGCTAAATGCCTGCTCCCTGCCCCAGCCCCCCTTTATAAAAAATACATTACATCACTACCTGATGAAGTAGGTAGAAAGCCATTTTTTTCCTGCTTAGCAAATGAATTAATTATAGCACAGAGATGAAGTAAGCAATTTTTTCAACTAAGAGTAAGTCATTGAGACACAGGAAAAGAATTCAGGAAACCCATTTCCTAGACCAAGAGTTCCTTTTACCTGAAGTATGGGCCTCTTATTAGGTAAATTAAAGCAGTAGTAAAATAACCAGAATACCTTGAAGAGACTTTTGAATTAAAAAGACAAAAATTATCAGAACAATTGTGCAAATTTAAAAAATTTATTTACATGTTTTGATTTCTTAAAAGTGATCTATGTAAGTTCATTATGTAGGTACCAAAGTTTATAAATGGGACTCGTACAGTCTCAATATACATATATACCTTACATGTCTATAATAGGCTGTCTATATTTAATACACATTTGAGTATTTGTCTTATATATTATACCAGATTATAAACTTCTTGATGCAAAACAGTGGGATGGGCCTGATATTTAGGATCTTTTCAGTGAGATAACAAAAAAACTGAGGTGGTGATTCTTGATTAGTACTAAGGGAAAATGGTATTTTTCTGAGTAATAAAATATCTTTGCTGATTTTTCACTGCCCTCTATTGGTGCCTGATGTTTCTGATGAAAATCTTAGAGAAGCCAGTCAGATGGACTTATATATAGCAAGAAAAATTATGAAGTCATAAAAATTCTGTGGATGTTCCTTTCAAAGGAGTAAGTGCTACTGCTGATAGGTAGAGCCACCTTACATTTTATAATAAAAAGAACCCATCCAAGTTACTATAGCATCTATTACAATACCCTTAATCATTATAAGGGTTGCAAATTAAACTTAAAAACCATAAACAATAATTTTTAAGGTGTAAAATCATGAAATTATACTTGCTAGTCATTCTTTTAAAAATACTTCAAATAGCAGTTGTTTAATGAACAGTAGTTCTCCATTAGTGCTAATATGGGCCAATTTTTTGCGTCAGTTAACACAGACCTTTTTCAGGATGACTAATGAGATGCAGGACCACAACTATTACGTAATGCAGTCTTATAAGTAGTCAGTGCAATCAAGTAGTTTAGCTACAGCATTCTTGGATTCAATACTGACATGGGCCTGTTTGCCATCAGCCTTTGGCTACAATTCTAGTTAGCCATCTCTGAAAACACAACCAGCTGTTCTTAAGGGGACTGAGTAGCCATATGAGACTCTAAGTGCAAAACCCATTGGTAAATGGAAAAATAACTCTGTGAGTCACTGATATTTTTAGGAATGGTCAATAACACATTTATACTTGGTGGTTAACCTTTTATTACTTATTGAAAATAATCTTATTTACTAGAAGAATTGGGTCTATTTAATTTTTAAATGTATGTGTAGAGTATTACCAGAAAACTGACTCACCTTTCATCTTCAGAATATACCTTATTCTACAGATTTCATGATAAAAAGGCGTTGTTAATTTAGTTTTGGTACTATTTCGCAACAGTCAAGATGGAATGAACATGAGTAATTTCAGACATGTATCTAGTTTTGGTGGCAGATTTATAAACTTAGCCTAAATACTGCACAAAGTTCTTAATGGTAGCTTTGGGATCCACAAGGAGGGAAGGCCTACACTTCCAGGAATGGAGAGGCCTACTTCCGGGGAAGAAAGTCCTTAAGGTCCCTGCGGGTGCCTAAAGGTCAACCAATGAGGATCAGACCCGCCTCAACCTTTAACTCCCATGCCCTGAATCTATAAAAGGAGCTCTCCCAATCTCTGATGCGTGACTTCCCCGGTCCCCGCTCTGTTGGGACCGGGGAACCTCGCCCGGGAGCGGAACCCCAATAAAAGCCTGTGAATTGATTGATTCGTCTGCCTGGGAAAATTTGTTGTGCGCCAGACACCTTACACTTAATATATTATTTGCACAAAAAAATGCTACCTCTTTATTAAAACTTTTATTATGCTCAGTATTTTTGTAAATGTTTCTCACAGGAAACAATGTGTTTTTTTTTTTTTTTTTTTGAAAACTGTACTCCAAGAAAATTCTTTGTGCACTGTCAGGAAAACCAGTAATATATATTTGAGATGAAAATTTTATAACATTGAAAGTTACCAAGTTAATCATTTTAATCATATTTTAAAATAAAGAAGATATAAAAACATAAATAAAATTTAGGAAATTAGAATAGGCAAACATCATCAGTTCCCAAAACACAAACTCCAATGGTTTTTACATAGCCATATACTTTCAATGGATCAAATTTTAAGGCTGAATGCCTGTTTGAATGTGCCCTTATCTGCCAGAATTGGTACTGTATTACACAAGATAAGTTGCAAAGAGGGGTGGCATTGCTTAGCAAAATGGCACATTATATCTACTACTCCTTACTGTACTCTACTGCAACAATTCAGCTGATAAAACCTGGAGAGCCCGGCTGTTCTGGAAGACCCTACCCCAGTATAGACAGCTGAAGACAGCCTTGTCATGTACTCACTTTACAATACACTATTCAACATGAGCCCTGGGGGGTCCTGGCTTTCAAGTGGATTCCATAGGCACAAAACTTGCCCAAGCCACAAGGTGGTTTTTAACTACTTTATTTACTACCTAATATGTTCCTCATCTATTGAGTATAGCAAATATATTTATAACTTGTGAATTCAGTGACAGAACTGTGAATTATATACTGGGGAGATTTCTTTTGAGTATTCTTCAGTGTCAGCATGGTAGTATGCATGTAACTAGTATGCTAATTTAGTAAATATTTACCAAGATAGACTTCTTCAGGCATTCTATTTTGAGATTCTTGTAGAAACAAGCCATTCTGAAGAGTTTTTAGGCCTTAAAAACTTGGTGGCAAATTAAGGTTAGAAGTGGTGCCTGTTTCCTGCGTGCCTATATGTTAAAGCAGAATCCCAAATAAGGAGTTAAGATTATATACTGAACAAAAATATAAGGAGGACAGGAATGTATGTCTTCCTTTTTTGTATAAAATATAGCTATTAACAACAACCTTTATGACAAAATAGTGGATGTAGAATATAGTGATGTTTTTTAAAAAACTGAAACTTTTCCAAAGACCATAAAATATAATTCTAATCAGTTTTCAGAAAAATCATTTTTTTATTCACTGAAGAACTGGAATTTTTACCATTCCAAATACTCTGAATTAGTACTAAACAACTATTTTACTCTCAATTGTGTTAAAATGTAAGGAAATACTTCTATGATTTTTTTGGAGTCTGAACAGCTTAGAACCCCCTTCCTAGATGTATATACTTTATTTTTTTACAAAAATAACTTACTATGCAATATTAATCTGAAAAAGGCAGCCTTTCACAGTAAACTAAAAGTGGAATAACCCCTGTGTCATAAGCTACAGTGAAACAATCCTGTAAAATTATTTTTCTTATGTGAACAATAGAGAGATTATTTTTGGTTTATGTTTCTACCTGTGTCTTATTGGACTTGGACTGTAAAGTCTGGATGGTAAAAATATAAATATTAGAAAGATGCTACAAAAACCAACGATTGTATAAGGAACATTTTTATGAAAGCAATTTCAGAGAATAAGTGAACATATTTATCTTTAAAATATAAACTCTAGTTTGATATATTCGTGATACTCTACAATGCCCAATTAACTGCTTTACATTTACTTCCAATGACACAGCAATCATATATGCATTTACTCTTGCAAAAAAGTACTCAACTTGAAAATTTAGCAGTATTTCTTAAACTTTTATAAGTGAAAGAAAAACAAAGAATCTCTGTTAATATAGCATGAAATGGATGTATCTGTTTATTTTGTAACAGCATGAGCATTTTTAAAATAAAAAATATAGTCAGAATTTTTACAACAGGTGACTGAAAGTCAATTTAGGCCAGTCACAAAACTTCCAGTGAAAAAGTTCACTTTGTATATCTTAGACATGTATATAGACAATAGCAGAGAAGGCTTGTGGTGGAGCCAGACACCCAAAATGTCATTGCTAGGGGACAGCAATCTATGGCCAATGGACTAAATTTGGCCTGGGGCCTGTTTTTGTATGGCACTGAGCTAAGAATGGTTTCTATTTTTTAAAGGTTGTTAAAAAAATAAACCACTAACAAAGGAGAATATACAACAAAGAATGGTCTGTAAAATCTAAAATACTTATGATCTGGCCCTTTACAGAACAAGTCTGCAAACCATTTCTCCCAGTGTTGTACAGAATTCGGAGTGTAGTTACAAACCAAGATAAAGTTTATTTCCACCATGAATGTAGTAACATTCCAAAAAGGTGTCTTCAGATGTCATCAGAATTTCTGTTCAAGTTTTTCTTAATCTTCAATATCAAAGTTCATCCTATAATTATAATACAACATAGCATCAGTTTATAATGTTAAAAAAATAACCAGTATTCTTTGGTGGATTACCACATGAAATACCTTCTGTACCATAGCAGTGGAAAAGGAAGGAATAACTCCTAGTTCTAAGCTCCCTGCAGCAGACAGTACTAACTGTAGTTTTACAGATTTACAAATTTCTATTTGGTATGTTCTTTAACTTAATTTCAGTTATGATACTCTGGTTTAAGACTTAAATACACTGAGGAAAACAGTCAATATACTAGTAAAACAAAATCAAGAAAATACAGATTTATAATTTTCTTTCCTATCTTTTAGGCTTGGATAAAATACTGCTGAAGCCTGCAGGCTGTGAAGTTACTCTACTGGACTCCGTAGAACTGACATGGATTATAGCAGAACCAGTACACTAAGACAGGGCTGTCTACAAAACTACTTCCCCAGCCCTCATCAGAGGCTGGGCTATATTTTGTCCTTCTTTGACCTTACAGGGAGAGAATGTAACATACCTCATAGCAATTGCATTTCATTTCATTCAAAAAGCACCCCAAATTCATGAACTCTGGTCTATTTCTAAGTATACCATGGAATGTCACTGATTTAAAAACGGAAAAAACGAACTTTCTGAATAATAGGAACTATGTGATGCTTTGATATGTATACTGTGTAATATTCATATCAGGATAAATTACCTATTCAAACACTGATCATCTCTTTATTGTGAAAACATTTGAAATCCTTTCTCCTAGTTAATAATGAATGCACTGTATTTGTTTAATATCTAAATAGGCTCTACTGTGCAACAGAACATAGAACTTCATCTTACCTAACTACGACTTTGTACCTATCACACCCTTCTCCTCTCTACTCCCCACAGCCTCTGGTAACCATTCTATTATCAACTTCTATGAGATCATTTTTTTAGATTCATAAATAAGTGAGATTATATAAATAACAATGATCTTCTGTGCCTGGCTTATTCCACTTAAGATAATGGCCCATAATTCCATCCACATTGTCGCAAGTGACAGTATTTCATCTTTTTATGACTGAATAGCTTTCTACTGTATAATGTACCACATCTTTATCCAAATTAAATTAAATTAAATTTCAAACTGCTGCCCATATGGGATGCCAGTGTCACAGGCAAAGGCTTAACCCACTGTGCCACAACACCCACCCCTTAATTCAATCTTGGAATAAATTGCTAAATTTCCATATTGTATAGTTTCCTGAATCATTTACATTTGAACAATATTTAGCATATGACTATAGTTATTTTTTTACAACTTGGGATATATAACAACAACTTGAGATATATAACAAAATTCCTATTTTAAAAGGATTTTAGTATATTCAGAGTTATGTTTAATATCATTACAATCTAGTTGTATTTTCTATAACCCAAAAAAGAATCTGTTACCCAAGAGCAGTCCCCTCACACTTCCCCAGTGCCAGACTACCACTAGAATGTTTCGTCTCCTTGGATTCATCTATTCCAGGCATTTACACAGATGGAATTATACTATCTAAGGCCTTTGTGATTGGCTCCATTCATCCATCCTGGAGTGTGTTTTAGGACTTTACTTCTTTTCAAGGCTGAAATTCCACTGTATAAATATACCACATTTCTTCATTAGTCAATGGACATTTGGGTTTCCTTTTTTTTTTTTTTGGCTACTATGAGTGATGCTTTTAACATCTGTAATGGACCACAATCACTATTTTTATAGTTAAATGATTTTGTCCAAATTTCTAAGCATTTCAGTATCTAGAGGCTTGGCTTAGTCCTTACCTTATCTCGCTTTCCTTGATTTTGGAGAGTTTCCAATTTTCCATCTATTAAGGTAGCAATTGCTTTTGCATCTCTAGAATGTATTTGTTCTTCCCAAATATTCCTCTAAAATGGAAAATAAAAATTTTTAAGTATTTAATCAAAACATGGTATTTCCACCTAAGAAACTTGACAATATGCTTTAAAGTTATTTTTTCCAAAATTGTGTTTGAAATTAAAGTTTATTCAAGGGAATAATGCTGGAAAAAGTGCACTACTGACTCAAAGCCTCTAAACAGTTAACTTTTATGAGAAAAGTTGTCTGCAGAGGACTGAAATCATGCTAATCTAATACAGTCATTGACAACATCTTGATCAACTATAATAATGAAATACAATGCATAGCCCTAGTTGTCACATTCTTGGTGTGAACCTCAATTCCTAAATTCACTATGTGTAACTGGTATTTCAGTTTACTGTAATCATTATTCTGCTTCGGCCCTGTCTGTCCAGGACTTCTGGATACCATACTTGTCTTTCACTCTGGACAAGGATATCTAGCTCCTAACTTTGTTCTTTGGTCCCCTCTGGATACATGACAACATCATTTTTTCAAATAGCCCTTTCAACAGCTTGGTTAGTTCTGTGACTGCTCATTATGTGGATCCTTCTCTAATACCATCCTACCTGAAAAAACTAAGAAACAGAGCTACTGATTCTAAAGGAAGATTCGACTTCTGATATAAACTCGCTGACCTTCACATAGAGGTAGTGTCTTAACAAATCAAAAACCTCCACTGAAAAATCTGTGCCAGTTCTAGATTTCTGAAATGTTTCTTAGCTCTATTTTTTTTTTCTTTTCTTTCTTTTTTTTTTTTTTTGGATAGGCAGGGTGGACAGTGAAAGAGAGACAGAGAGAAAGGTCTTCCTTTTGCCGTTGGTTCACCCTCCAATGGCCGCCATGGCCGGCGCTGCAGCCGGCGCACCGCGCTGATCCGAAGGCAGGAGCCAGGTGCTTCTCCTGGTCTCCCATGGGGTGCAGAGCCCAAGCACTTGGGCCATCCTCCACTGCACTCCCAGGCCATAGCAGAGATCTTAGCTCTATTTTACAATGTATGATAACTACCAATGAATAACATTAGATCTTAACTTGATATTCTCCAAGAGTACATAGCAAGTAGTTTGTTACAGTTCATTTTCTCTCCTAAAGGAAGCTCATTACTTTGAAATTTATTTAGTAGTGGAAGGCATTTTTGAATAGAAACACAGTAGTATGTATTACATGGTGTTCTTAGTGACCTCAACAGCCACTGTAAACTTGACATTAATTGGTCTTACTATTTGTTTTTTGTTCAACAAACCACATCAACATTAAGACAGTATCAATAATTGTCATCAGTTTATTCTAGTCACAGAAGTAGCCCTATTTACTTACGATAAGCATTCAAATCTGTTTTCATCATTTTGGGTTTATTAGTTATTATCTCTTCTGCAATCCATGGTATCGAGTTTCAGCTATTACCTACTCCCTTTGAATTGCATGTTTTTTTCATTCATATACAGTAAATTTTAAAGTAATCACAGATCATTAAAACTACAATAAAAGTCTATTTCTGGCTAGCAAATGATTAAGTGACATTGTAAGGCACATAATTTTCTCATTCTTTTGTAATGTCCCAATAGTAATCTATTATTTTACAAACCAATTGAGTATAAGCAACTCAGTCTTGATTCTCTCTGAAATACCAAAATTCTTGGTGAAATCTATTCCTATGCATTTAAAAAATTGTATCACAATTCTGTCAAAAACCTCCTCTTTTACTTGGGAATACAGCAAAGGTCAAGAGTACTTTCAGTTTGCAGTTACACTGACTGCAAGATGCAGCTTGTGTATCTGTGATCACGGACAGGCTATCACCTGGATTTTGTAAAGATCCACTGGTAGAATTCTAGGCTTTTTTTTTTTCCTTAATTGAAAATAATATATACTGTCAGTGGTACCCAAAATTAAGTATGACTAAAACAAGGAACTCTAAATTCCATTGTGTAATCTACATAACTATTCCTTAACCTAAATGCTCAGATAAAAGGTTACTTCAAAAGTAATACATATTCATTCAGTAAAAAAGTGGGAAATGTAAAACTTCACAAAAAATAATTACCTGTATTCCACTAGCTAAAGATAACCACTATTAATATTTTGTTTCTTTCTAGGAGTATAACTATTCATAAGAATAAAAATATTTAAGGCGAATGAAATCACATCAATTGTGAGATAGAAAAACATGATGACTTGGGATACAGATGTGGATAAAAAGATGCTTGTTTCAGTAATATGCAATAATACAGAAATGATAAAGGGAAAAGAAACTAGGGAACATTTCTGAGAATGAAAGCAATCTGCCTTTGAGGAAGGAAGATGAGCAAAGCCTGTACTTACCTTTGTTCTGTCATAGAGATAAAGCTTCACAGTTGGATAAGCTTTGATACCCGCTTTCTGGCACGTCTGAGCATAAGCCTGACAGTCTACCTTTCCAGCTTTCACCTTTCCTTTAATCAACTGAAACAAGGAAAATGCGATCTGTTATTTTCTCTTTGGTATTAACTGTTTTGGCAACCACTAAGCAGTATGATTTGAAATATTTCCCATCTTTTCACTCATATTAAGGATTTGCTATCTAAAAAAACTTGATTTAATCCTCAACAAGACTGTAAATTTTTCTGGTCCTTAGGATCCTAATTGCCAGCACCAGCTCTTGTACAACAAATAAACTATCCTGCCTTACCAAGAACATTGAGAAGCTGTATCCTGAACTTTCAACTTCTCCCTGCTACCCACATCTTGCTTATTAGCATATGACAAGTACGTTTTTGTTTTCATCTTTTATCCTTCCCCAAGTCTCTTTAATGAGATAGCATTCTCTGTCCAATGGATGGCTCACTATGCCACTTATATTCTCCAGTTCCTCACTGTTAGCTCTGTTTCAGCGTATACATGTATGAATAAAATGATTCCTTTCTGGATTGCAATAGTTCTATTCTCTCAACACTTTCTCATCATCTACTTATTTGGGAACACGTGTTAGTCTGTCTTCTGTTCTTACTGCTCTTCTCCACTGAAATGGTCCTGTGTCCATCAGTGATCTCTACTTGACTAACCCAAATGAACACTTTTCAGTCTGCTTAATGGGCATGTGATACTGTTGACCATTCTTGGCATCTGTCACTATTCTCTCACCACTCTGGATGTTCTTTCTTTTTTCCAGTATAAACATCTCCTCCTTTTCCTGCTCCTCAAGTTATAACATCTAATGAGAATTATCTTTTTTTTTTTTTTTTTTTTGACAGGCAGAGTGGACAATGAGAGAGAGAGAGAGAAAGGGAGAATTATCTTTTAAAATCCCAGCATGTTTTATACACTGCTCTGTTGACAGTCTAATCTTTCCTCCTCCATTTCATACTGAATTGGGTAGTGGCCTGCCATAGACAGCTGCCTCATAAGCACCTCAAGCACAGCATGCTTAAATTCTTTTGGGGCCAGTGGTAGAACTACCACTTGAGATGTCACATCCCATATTTAATAATCTCCTATTTTCAAAACATTTTTTTTTTTTTTTGACAGGCAGAGTGGACAGTGAGAGAGAGACAGAGAGAAAGGTCTTCCTTTTGCCGTTGGTTCACCCTCCAATGGCCGCCGTTACTTTGTGCGCTGCGGCCGGAGTACCGTGCTGATCCGATGGCAGAAGCCAGGTGCTTATCCTGGTCTCCCATGAGGTGCAGGGCCCAAGCACTTGGGCCATCCTCCACTGCCTTCCTGGCCACAGCAGAGAGCTGGCCTGGAAGAGGGGCAAGTGGGACAGAATCCGGCACCCCAACTGGGACTAGAACCCGGTGTGCCGGCGCCGCAAGGTGGAGGATTATCCTAGTGAGCCGAGGCGCCGGCCCCAAAACATCATTGAATTACAAAGTTAGTAAGTACGTTTTCTGTACACAAGGGAGAAAATACTTTGTTACTGGGAAAATCAGAGTAAGTAAAAACCTCTTATTTGAAGGACAAGTCAATAACATTGTCTTCCATAGCTTGTAGAGATTTGATATCCCTCTGCTGAAAAGTTGTCATGGTTACTTTTATTTTGGGCTTGTAGATCTAATGCTCTCTCATTCCTATTATACTACCAACGGCCAGAGTTCCTTGAGTTATGTAGGCAAGGAGTCTATCAGTCTGGATGGATTAGGTCATTAACAACATTGTTATGAGAAAGAAACACCAAAAACTGAGTGCACTGAATGTATATATTCAGTTTAAATTTATAAGCATTGGCTGACTTGAATAAGGCAGGGGACTTACTCAAGTCTTAGGGAAGAAAAAGAGGTGTGAAGAAATCGTTAATGCTTATCATACATGTATAGTGATAGAATACAAGACATTAGGTGACAATGATTAAGTGAGAAGGGTAGAAGGCACAGGACAAGTGTCTTCAAGCTGTAGAATGAGGAGAAAAACTCCAGAAGATCAAGGTAAATGCAGGACCTGTTAGAGGGCGTAGCATGCACATAAAGAGGCTAGCATGGAGGACAGGACATGACAGATTTCAAAAATATTCAGGAGACAGAAGTGAAAGGATCTAGTGATTGCTGGCCTGGAGGGCAGCAGAATACTGATAAGTGAAGGAGTTAGGAGATCAGAGATAGAGGAAAGCTTTCTGGCTTGTATGGCTACGGGCTACGTGGGCAATGATATTAATCAAGAGAAAGATGTTAGCTGAAAGCTTTAATAAGAAAGAAACCTACTGTAAAGATTATAATTATACAAATGGAATAGTTTTTTAAAATGAAAACAATTATATTTACAAAGTTCTAATTATTAACACATTCCAATGACTACAACTTAAGTAGATAGACCAGACTTACCCTAGCCAAGAGCTCAAACTCTGGAGCAAAATTTTGGCACGGTCCACACCAAGGCGCATAGAAATCAACCACCCAGTGGTTTTTCCCTTGTAAAACTTTTTCATTGAAAGTTTGAGGTGTTAAATCTATGGACACTTGAGGTAAAAATCTGTAGCAAGTGATCAAAGTAATTTATTATTATACAAAATCAAAGCAAACATCTAAAATATAATTATTGCACAGTTTTCTGAATTAAAAATGGCTTCACAAATAGCCATGTCCTTTTTTTATAAATATATTCCTTTACTAAGTTAAAATCCTAGAACATTATATAACCCACAGTAAATTTAACTATAGACAAAGGCAGAATAAAAATAGCTTTAAATCTACTTCACACAATTATATATATTTTGGTTACTCACCCCAGACCCCAGATTCTTAGGGAATAAGCATCCCTATTCCAACCATTGTAACTACTGAAAGAAGAAAAAATATATAAGTTGTAATCTTAGTATAAGCAATTTAAGAAATAAATAGTTGATTGGCTGACTAATGTGGGTGATCCCATGAGACTGCCTGCCTAGCCCATGCAGTTAGCCTGACTGCTGGCAAGTGGTGGGAGCCCCAGGCACATTTTCCTCCACCCCTGCCTTCTGCAAACTAGGTAATGCTCCCAGGTGTGGCCCAGACCCACCTGGAAAGCTACCCTAGCTACGTGACCTTCAAGCTGATGGGAGAGGCATATTGGTGCCAGTGTCGGTTCTGTCCTATAGAGTTAGTGTTTGCCCTGAGTTAGTTACGCCCCTTCTGCCTGCCTACATGGTAGTGACTAAAGACAGACATGTTCACCAAAGCCTGTCCCCAGTGCTTCTTATCGAAGTACACCATCACCTCACTCTCCCTGACGGTGCAGGAAGTCTGCAGACTATCAATATTGGTGGCACAGCTTCCCAAGTATGTTCTCCTCTTGTCTTTTTCTGCTAAAGCCAGACAGGATATCTAGCTGTCTGCTGGATACCTGCAGATCTATGGCAACTGCAAAACCTACAATGTCCAAGATTTTATCTTCTGAACCTGTAAGTCATTAATGTTTCTCAGATTACTACCTATTTTTAAGATCCACAGCAAAAATTACCTCAAAATACAGGCTTTCATGTTTTTCTCACAGTTTTGATTCCTTTGAAATCTATGGCTCCTTTTTACTTCAATAAATTTCATCATACTCTACCTTTAATTGGAATTTCTCCATGAAATTCCACATGGTAGAGTGGAAACATATGGATACAGACAGACCTTAGCAACTACACCTTGGGAAAGTAATAGCAGGTCTCAGAATCAGTTTACTTTTCTATAATACAGTTTACAAAAGGTAACAATTCCTACTTCAGAGCGTATGTGAGGACTAGTGGAAACAATGTGAATATAGTACCTAGTACAGTACCTGAACCTAAATCATATTAGCTTTTCCTCTCGACTGTATTACAAGCTTCCTGAACAAGGGATTGCTCGATTCTCTTTTAATCTTCTGAAGTGCTCATTAACATACTATGTTAAAGATGGTGGGTTCCCAATAACTTCTACTTAGGATAATTTAAATGCTAATGGCACAATTAAATAGTTTAAAATTTCAGAGAATACCTACTGATACTGAAAACCTTTATTTGATTTCTGGGGAAAAAATCTTATCTCAGGGTATCTCTGAACGTTTTCTTGAGTACAGAAAGAATGGTACTGCTGGCAATCTATACTGCCCACATTGATCAGTCCAGTTAATGCCTATAAAGAGAAAAAGGCAATAATGTATCAAAATGAAGAATAAAATCAACAAAATGGTTTTATTAGTGATTTTTAACAAATGAAAGCAGATAAGGAGTTGACACAGACCATTTATACTAATGAATTTAATACTATAATTCTTACAGATTAAACAACTGACTACATCCACTCATGGAAAAAGTTATATATTTCTAAAAGTCAGAGGGTTAGAAATCAAGCACTGCTCTTTTCAATGGAGGTAAGCATTACAGATACCTTATCTAATCATACCCTAATTTAAAAATTTTATTAAAAGGAGCACAAAAAACATAAAATTAATGTTTTATGAAATATTAATTGTACTTTTAATTCTGGTATTTAAATTTTTTTAATCATTCATGATTTCCAAATATAAATGTTTTAATGCTCAAGGCCATTTTTTGTTTTTAAATAAATTAACCCTGTTGGCTCCTCTTTAAAATAATGTTTATTTCTGGGGCTGGTGTTGTGGTGCAGCAGGTTGGGCCACCAGCTGCTCTGCTTCCAATCCAGCTCCTGGCTGATGCACCTGGGAAAGATGATGACAGCCCAAGTGCCTGGGTCCATATACCCATGTGGGATACCTGATGGAGTTCCAGAATCCTGGTTTCAGCCTGGCCCCGACCTTGGCCTTGCAGCCATTTGGGGAGAGAACCAGTGGACGGAAGATCTCTAATTCTGCCTTTTTAAAAAAATATTTATTTATTTAAATGTTTATTTCCAACTACCTGAAAGGCACAGAGAGATGTTTCCCATCAGCTGATTCATTCCCCAAATATCTACAACAGCCAGGGCTGGGCCAAAGCCAGGAGCTTCATCTGGGGCTCCCATGTGGGTGGCAGGGGCCCAAGCACTTGAGCCATCATCTGCTGCCTCCCAGAATGCATTAGTGGGAAACTGGATTGGAAACAGAGTAGCTGGGACTTGAACTGGCACTCAGATATGGGATAGAGGCATCCCAAGCAGTGGCTTAACCTGCTGTGCCACAACGCCTGCCACTCAACACTATCTTTTTAAATTCCTGAATATTGCTAAGAAAGGGCATCATTAAGTTTTAAAAACAAAGCAGTAGTGTTTGGCCTTGTGGTCAAGATTCTGGTTGGTACACCTGCACCCCACGTTGCGGCACCTGGGTTTGATTCCTGGCTTCAGTTCCTGATGCTAGCCTTCTCACAATCAGCACTTGGGTCCCTGCCACCCACCTGTGAGGCAGGGACTGGGACTCTCGTTCCTGGCTTCAGCCTAGCCCAGTCCTATCCTAATGTCATGGGTATTTGGGGAGTAAACCAGCAGATGGGAAGCTCTGTTTCTTTCCAACTGATAATAAATTAGGAGTAGAAAAAATTTAAACAAAATGAAGTAGATTTTGGGACTGATATTAGCTGCACGTGCACAAAAAAGGTGACTCTTTTTAAAAAATACAATTTTCTTAACAGAAATAGAGCTGGAATATACATGGTATAGATCAAGTAATAATCTAGTTTTGGGTTCATTCATCTCGATTCCAAAAGAACTTAAATAAACATTCTTATTAAGTGGGTAAGATTTATAAGAAACCAGTTTACTATACCCGAGCCATTCTTTTCCATTCTGGCATTAATACTTGACACGGATGACACCATGGAGAATAGAAATCAACCATCCAAACTTCATCATATTTTCGTTTCTTAACTAGTTCATTGAAAGTGGTAGGTGTAAGGGAGATCACAGAAGGATTCCTAAGATCCTAAAGGGAACATAGCTTCTATTATAATAGTTAAAAAAAAATTCACAAATGTCATTTAGAAAGTTCCTGTTTTTGAGATGTCAAAAGATTCTTAAGGAAACTACTTAATCATGACTTTAATACAAAGTCAGATACAAAGGAGATAAGCTTGTTGCTGTAGTTTTGCAAGGTACATCTGGTTTCAGAGAAAATGGGGTCTGGAGGTTTAACAGCTTTAAGTGAAAATGCAATTTCATCTGCTCAATAATTAGTTGGGTCTACTATACACAACATTTTATACTAGATAACAAACAAGATTTATTCTCATGTAGATAAGTTTTATAATAAAACGAGTCATTTTCTTGGCAGAAAATGTTTGGCGTGAAAAGAATAAATCTCATTAAATACTCATACAAAGCGTACATTTAACAGAAAGATTTTTAGTCGAAGGCTACAACTTAAAATACCTCTATGAACTCCAAGATCTGTTCCGCAGAATGATGTCCTTCATACTCATGAATGTTGGACTGGTTGAATACCACTGTTGTTGGATAAGCCTGAATGTTATACTGTAAAGAATACAAGTTTAATAAACATTTATAAATTTACTTAACTGACTTGTTTCAAATTTATAACCAATGGGCATTTAAGTAACAGCAATGTAATTTTTTTTTTTTTTTTTTGACAGGCAGAGTGGACAGTGAGAGAGAGACAGAGAGAAAGGTCTTCCTTTTTGCCATTGGTTCACTCTCCAATGGCCGCTGCGGCCGGAGCACTGCGCTGATCCGATGGCAGGAGCCAGGTGCTTCTGGTCTCCCATGGGGTGCAGGGCCCAAGCACCTGGGCCATCCTCCACTGCCTTCCTGGCCACAGCAGAGAGCTGGCCTGGAAGAGGGGCAACCGGGACAGAATCCGGTGCCCCGACCGGGACTAGAACCCGGTGTGCCAGCGCCGCAAGGCAGAAGATTAGCCTAGTGAGCCGTGGCACCGGCCAGCAATGTAATTTTAAAAACCCATTGCTAGGGACTGAAAAATTTTAGCCTAGCCAAATTTGGCAAAGAGAATGGATTCATGGTGTACTGACAAATACTGAATCCTGATTATAGCGCCTTCATTTTCCATGAAAACCAGAGCCATCAATATGTTGAGAAGTGAGCACATGTAATTAGTACTTAGTCCTTTCTTACTCTCCTCAATCAAGGTAAGAAAACTGTTATCTCTAACTTGAATCTTCTTCTGAAATAAATAAATAACATACATATTCAGGTAACTTCTACATGTTCTTGGAACTGAGGAATATTTATTTACCTAGGAAAATATTTTGATATAAACAAGTTTCAAAAACCTCATTCATTGCTTCAGTTTCCTCCTATAGCCTACAAAAAGTTCATGAAAAATGTATATTATGAAAAATTAGATTTCAAATTTGTCTTCCCCCAAAATAAACTTAATTCCATTCTTCCATAAACTTTTAAAAGTAACCTCCTAGTAACTACACTTAGAAGATAAACATGAGCAACGCCAAAGAATAAAAATTATAGACTGCCAAAAGGCAACATTACCTTAAAGAAAGATAAGGACTTTAAGCAAACAGCAAATTGTGGAAGCATTTTATCAAATCAACTAAATAGTTGCCTGAGTTTGCTAAGAACTTACCTACATTCTCACACCAGTCATGATTTAATCAAATCATGATATTTTGTTGGAATTACTCTAAATGGAAGAGATACATCTGAACAAACATTATCTTTTCAACATCAAATGGCTAATAGGCCTCTATTTCACAAAACAAATCTAATTAAAGTTTTTATACTTTGTCTTACCATGTTACAGAGTCCCTCATGAATTGTACAATCTAGTGTACCAAACTTGAGCTGACCATAAAGAAGAGTTGATGCTTTTCTTAACTCTGGCAGTAAAGCTCGACATGGTGGACACCACTAGAAAAGAAAAGTATTTATAAGCACTGAGCCAAATGAAACAAAAACCCGTAATTTTTCAAACAAACAAACAAAGACAAATGATACATCACGGCAACTCTATGGGTATATTATTAATCCTTGGAGAAAGGTAATTACTACTTACTCTCACTTAGAAGCAATATGCAATAGTGGTCAAAACCCATTGACACCTTTCTAATACTAAAGACACTTATCAAGAAAATGTCTTTTTGACATGGCAACAGAAAATCTGACAATACTGATTAAAAAAAAAAAACTTACAGGGGCAAAAAAATCAACAAGCCATGGTTCTTTGTCATTGGCAGGAAAATTCTGAGGTCCAAGTGTAGTAACATGAGAATTAACACTTTCTTTGGCAAACGCAAGTATATCATATAGAATCTTCTTTCCTTTGAAATCAAAAGAAAAATTAAAACCACATTCTGCATTTTATATTCACAGAAACATTTCAAAGATATGAACTAAGTGATCTTGGGGTAGTTTCAGTGTCTGTACTTTATGTCTTTGCACTCTGTTTTTTAGGACTAGTAAAAATGTCAATGCCTCTTTTAAACATTTCCTCATCCCCAGAGGTAGAATAAACAATTCTTTACCATGTTCGATTCCTTATAGATATACCTGGGTATCATATCAATATTTCAAACACAGTATATTCATATTAAAACTGAGTTATTCCCCCCACGGAACTTGCTCCTTTTTTTTACCTTCCCCAGTTTGTTTGGCAATAAGATAATTATTCACTCAGTTCCTAAATAAAAGTCCCCAGAGAGCTCTTACTTTTTTTTTTGACCTTGTATCGCATCTCCATCCATTCTGTCTCTTAAGGTCCAACCTCATGCTACTGCATGAATTCAATCTGGCCTACTGCAATAACTAAGCTGGTGTTTCTGTCCCTAGCCTTCCTTAAGTACTCCATTTTCTACATGGTTAGCACAATCAACTTACAGAAACATTAATCTCATACTGTTTCCTTGTGTAAACACCTTTGATCATTTCCCACTGCTGTTTTGACAAATGGTATCTTATTCAGAGTCTAGTTCATTCTGCCAAGTGCCCTTTAACTTAGTCACTCAATAGTCAAAGTCAAGTCCCTACTATGTGCTAGATTTTGTTTAAAGACATACTTCCTCTCTTAGAGAGCGAATGGTCCAAAAGAAGAGACATTTTCACAAAAACATATAGACAGATAAATGACATCACATTATTTTTTCTAACACTTTAGCTGCTATTTCTTGACTGGCTTCACAAATTTCTTAATCTCTGACCATCCCTTATTCTGATTAGACAATTTTCATACTCAGTTTTCATTATCACTCAGGGTAATTATTTATAGCCCACATTCCTCTCCTGGGTCCAGGTCCCTGTTCAACTGTGAAGTGGGTTTGTCTACTCTATACTCACCCCTTACCCAGTGTTCTCTTCCTCACTGAATGGTACAATTATTTAACTGCTGATTCACCAAGTCAGAAACATGGGTGTTATCAGGGTTTTTCTCTTTAGCAATATCTAAGTTATAATGATTTTATATTTATAAAACATCTCTCTTCTTAATCATTTTAATTAACATTTCATTAAAGCAACCATCTTCTTCTCTAATATACATTATTGAATCCATCTTGTGCCTCTCTTCTTCCAATTCTGCTCCCATTCATTCTAGGCAGCTGCTCACCTTTCTAAAATGTAAAAAGAAGATGGGCAGGTGTTGTGGAACAGTGGGTAAGTCATTGTTTGGGATATCTACCTCCCATATTCTGGAAAAGTTGTGTCCTGAATACTCTGCTTCTGATGCAGTCTCCTATTAATGCATCCTGGAAGGTAGCAATTGATGGTTCAAGTACTTGGGCCCCTGCCACTCACATGGGAGACAACAATGGAGTCCAGGGCTTCTAGCTTTGGCCTGGCCCAGTCCTAGCTATTGCAGGCATTTGGAGAATGAACCAGCACATGGAAAATTTCTTTCTCTGTTGCTCTGCCTTTCAAGTAGATACAAATAAACAAACAACCAGTGAGATAACACCTCTGCTTTGCTTTTAGGAAACGTCCAAAGCCTTTACCTGACAAATTAAATACATAATTTGGACCTCTGATGCCCTCTCCAGCCTCAACATATTATTAATTCTGAAGTTATTATCAAAGAGCAGGGGTCTGCGCTGTGGCGCAGTGGGTAAAGCCGTGGCCTGCAGTGACAGCATCCCGTATGGGTGCCGGTTCGAGTCCTGACTGCTCCGCTTCCAATCCAGCTTTCTGCTATGCAGAAGATGGCCTAAGTCCTTGGGCCCCTGCAACCACGTGGGGGACCCGAAGGAAGCTCCTGGCTCTGGATCAACACAGCTGCAGCTGTTGCAGCCAACTGGGGACTGAACCAGCAGATGAATGACCTCTCTCCCTGCCTCTCCTCCTCTCTCTCTGTAACTCTGCCTTTCAAATAAATAAATAAATCTTAAAAAAACAAAAAATCAAAAAGACTCTCAGTACAGAGCCTCTGAATACATCTGTGCTTCAATGTATTTGCCACCTTTTCATTTGGGCAATCACCACTTCAAATCTCAACAGAGTTGCTCTATGTACTTGCTATAATCCCAGAATATCGTTCCTCCTAAGAGCAAACAAAGCTCATCTCTACGGTAATCCATTTCTAAGACAGTGACATCTCCTTGAATATTCATACCACTAGATTGTACCAGGGTTGGTTAAGCCAACTAATGGAACACGGGGATGTGATGGTTTGTCTTAAGAACAGCTTATAAAAGATATTGTTGCTTCTATCTATTTTTTTTTCTTCTTTCTCTTCAAATATTTGTTCTGGGAGAAGCCAGCAACCATACTGTGAACAATGCCATTTAGAGGCCCATGTGGTGAGGAACTGAGGCCTCTGCCAACAGCCAGCGAAGAACTCCGAACTTATACCAAGCCAAGAGTCAGCATGAAACCAGATCCTGTAACCATAGTCTAGGCTTTGGATGATCACAGACCTCATTTTGACCATAACCTCATGTGAAAACCTGAGTTCAAAACCATCCTGCTAAGCAGTTCTGACTACTGGCCAACAAAAACTAATGAGAATTAATAAAGTTTTTTAAGCTGCTGAATTTTGGGGGTAATTACAACCTGGCAAGGTAACTAATATTCTCCACATCAGACATTTGCAAAATTTGTCAATTTACTTGTGTGCTTTCTCTCCTGATCCATACTATTCTTTAGGGTAGAGATGGAGTAGACTGAACATTTTTTCCTATTCTCTATTACTGTACTTTGTACACACAGAGGCTCAATACCTAGTTAAATCCAAAGAAACAACACATGTAATAAAGTTGGTAATGGCATATTAAAGGAAGTGCTTAGGGATTTGCATTTAATTTTCCAGGGGAGAATATACATTAGGTTTGAAGGGTGATTAGGAGTTTGCTAAGTATTTTGAGGAGCAGGAAGTAATGACTATAATGGAAGAGGAAAGATTATGCACACAGGAGTTAAACAGTATTTTCAAGGTTCCAAAGGTACCTGAAGTTAAGATTGTCTGGAGGGGTAGAGGTGGGAGATGAGGCTGGAAAATGTGGCAACAGCAGATCATTAATGTTTCTCACTCATTTCAAAACTATTTACTTACTGAGTTCCTACTATGTGCCAGGCACCATGGTAGATGCTGGAGAAAACAAGGTATTAAAAAACAAAGTGATTGCTTTTATGCTAAGGACCTGTTAGAGGTAAGCCACATGAGAATGGGTTCTGAGTCATAACATTCACACAAAACAAAGAATGGGTTTTAAAGTGAAGTTTAGAAGACAGGCAATCCTCCAGGAGACTATTACAGTCAATGAAGGAGCAGACAGACCTGAAGCAAGACAGCAAGTACAGAGAGAAGGAGGAATCTGAGAAATACTTCAGAGACAAAAAATATAACTTCATTATTAAAACTCGGTTTGTAATGGCTATAATCCTAAGTTTTGGAGTAAAACATCTTATTTCAAAATTTACACTGATTGAGTTTCTAGTTTTTGTCGTGAGTAATTGACTCAACCTTTCCAGGTCTCAACTTTGTTCTTCATGCATATTTTTTTCATAATACGTGTTTTCCATGAACTTTTTTGAAGAATTTTTATGTTAATTTTGAAATATTTCTGCACCAAAATAATTCCATTTTCCATAAACTTTTTGAAGTAGTCTTGTGTAATTGAAAATCTTCATATTTACCAATAAACTAATAAATGAGGCCTTAGTTATTTACAAGAAGCATTTCAATACAAAACAATGTAGGCCAGTGCCGCGGCTCACTAGGCTAATCCTCTGCCTGTGGCGCCAGCACCCCGGGTTCTAGTCCCGGTTGCTCCTCTTCCAGTCCTGCTCTCTGCTGTGGCCCGGGAAGGCAGTGGAGGATGGCCCAGGTCCTTGGGTCCTGCACCCACATGGGAGACCAGGAGGAAGCACCTGGCTCCTGGCTTCGGATTGGCGCAGTGCGCCGGCCGTAGCAGCCATTTGGGGGTGAACCAACGGAAAAGGAAGACCTTTCTCTCTGTCTCTCTCTAACTCTGCCTGTCAAAAAAAAAAAATAAATAAATAAAAAGCAAAGTTAAATTCTCTTTTGAAAATGAAGATTAATTTCTATCATTTTTGTGTCCATTCTTACCATGATGAAATTCATATTCTTTGGTTCCTTGTCCTTTAAACACAGCTAGGCATGGCTGAAAAACATAGAGATTGCTACAGACCTCTGGGGCAGATGAACAGTCAAACCTGCCAACCTAAAGTAGAAAGAGGAGGATGACTTTGCTGCCAACATACAAACTTATCCATTCAACTTTTAAATACTGTTAACAGTAACCCAAGTATTATCTAAATAGAAGTTACTGAGTTATGAAAATCAGTGATGAAAATAATAATTTACATTTAATACTGAAATTCAGTTTAGTTAAAAATGCTTCCTAGAGAGTTCAAAAATCTGAGAAGAAATTTTCAAGGAAATATGAAGTTACTTAAGATATGTCTTATGTAAGGGATATTTCTATGGTCTTGGGGTACAAGAGTTACAACTTTCTAAAGAAGACAACAGAAGTAGAAATAATGAAGGAAAAGGCTTAGGGCCGGTGTTGTAGGGCAGCAGGTAAAAGTTACTGCCTGCCATGCTGGCATCCCATATGGCTGCTGGTTCGAGTCCTGGCTGCTCTCCTTGTTAATGCCGGGGAAAAGCAGGAGAAGATGGCACAGGTGCTTGGGCCCTTGCACCTATGTGGAAAACCTGGAAGACACTCCTGGTTTTAGCCTGGCTCACCGTGGTTGTTGCGGCCACTTGGGAAGTGAACCAGTGGATGGAAGACCCCCTCTCTCTCTGTCTCTCCTTCTCTCTATAACTCTGATTTTCAAATAAATAAATAAATCTTAAAAAAAAAAAGGTTGATTTTTTCATACAGTGTGATTGTGAAAGACAGCCACATGAATAAAGTAGGCAAATGATATACTCAGAAAAAAAATTTTTCAGCACTTACCCTAGAGAGTCCACTAAAATATAACCTGACACACATCCCATCAAGGAAAAAAAAATGGGCCAGGGATAAACTAAGAATTATGATGTATTGACAGTTATGGAAAAAAATGTTTCTTCTACCAATCACAGTAGACAGCACACAAATAAAAGTGTACATTATTAATGTATCACTCTGGCCTATCAGAATAGTGAAGATTATAAAAATGACAATACCCCACTATTGGCTAAGTTTGGAGAAATGGCCAATCATATGCTGTATGATTATAAAGTGAGATAAACTTCCTAGAGGGCCCTATTAATGAAGACCAAAATAAAAATCTAACACAATATATATAATCTGAGTCAAAAATTACATCATGGAAATATTAGGCATGTTTGGTTTGACATAAAAAAATGGGAAAAAAGTTGGCAAGAAATTTGAATACAGCCTACTCTTTACGGAATGAGATTCAAATAAGAAAATATTCTTGTAAGTCTAAAAAGCTGACACTGCTGAATGAAAAGTTTACAAAAAGAATAGAGTTACATGTATATGTATACTTTTACATATGGATGTCAATTACAATGACCATTACAATATAGACTCATGGGTACAAATACGCATGTGAGCATTTATACATGCAGTCATTCACAAAATATTTAAAAGCCATAAATTCTTACTATGTTTATTAACAATACTCATAGTATGGGTGATATTTTTAGATAATTATTTTCATTTTTTTTGTTCATACATTCTAATGAACAAGAATTACATGAATAAATAAGAATTTCAAAAAAGGAAAGTTGAGGTGTACATTGTGGGTACAGCAGGTTACACCACTGCTTTGGATGTTTGCATCCCCCACTGGAGTACTGGTTCAAATCCTGACTCCTCTGTTTCAGATCCAGTTCTCTGGGAATGCACCTGGGAGTCAGCTGATGATGACCCAGGTACCTGGGACTCTGCCATGATGAGGGAAACCCGGATGGAGTTCCTGGTTTCTGGCTTTGGCAGCTCTTGTGGGTATTGGGGGAATGAAATCAGTAGATGGAAAATCTTTCTTTCTCTCTGTCTTTTCCTCTCTGTCACTCCAATAAATTTTAAAAAAGAAAATCAATAATGGTATGTACTCCAGAAAAACTGTGTAAGACTTCTTTAAAAATGGAAATTGGCCATTTTCTGATATGTCCATTCTTAACAGGAAAAGAAGATACAACTCAATACCAACAGCAAATATAGGCTTCTAAACCTAGAATTCCAAATGAACATTTTTATGCCACTTAAAATTTGATTTATGTGCATTAAGAAAGTACACCAGCAGAAAGTTAGGCAAAATACATTTTTCTTACTTGAATGTGATCATTTTTAAGCAGAGTTTTTAGTTTTTTCAACTCAGGATCATCTTTTTCATTTTTTCCAAAATGAAAAAATAAGAGCCATCGATGATGTGCCAAGCGATCCTTAAAAGTGATAAAGAAGAAATGTCAGACATAAGGAGTTTTTAAAGGGCTCTAGTTTTTATTTCTTTTAAATTTTTAGCTACCCTACCAATACTTCAAAATATTACCTAAAATTCAGATCTATTAGTATTCTTCTTTAGTAGTTTACTAAAAATACTGCTATGTAAATTAATTATAATTTTATAGAAGGATAAGTCAATAGATTAAAAATCTGAAAGATGACTGTGCCAAAAAAAAAATGACATGGGATTAATAAGTAGACAGAAAATAGACTCTCACAAATGGAGTACTTGTAAGCATTCTATTCACAAACTGAATGCTTCTTAATTCTTAGTGGTGCTAGGCATGAGAACGAGTAATAGTTTTTAAAGTAAGAATACAAAATTCCTAGTCAGATCTAAAGTTTGCTGTGATCAAAATCTTGCTTTGTCTGTTGTTCCTTTTGAAGCCCACCTTTAGGACTGGGTAGGTTTTCCAAAACTGTGTAGTATCATCAGAATTTCAGCAATTAAACTTCACCTAGAATTAACTAATACAATCTTTTTAAACTGCTACTTGCAATTTTCTCTAGTAATGAGTATAACAAATGATGACTTTAAAATGTTAAGACTTGAAATAGTACCAACATTTACTGCTATTTATTAGTATTAAATAAAACATTACCTCTAGTGTGTTCGCTGAAAGTAATTCAAAGTCTGGAAGATTATGTATTATTTCCAAATATATTTCTTTAGCATCCAATGAATTAAGAAACTAGAACAAGAGAATCATGTTGTAATCTTTCTGAATAAACATCTAGTATCTTTGTTTTTTTCAGTTCCCAAATTACAATTTTTAAGAAAACAATTACAGAAGTTAAATTTTTTCTAAAGATATCATATTTTGGTGATTACTAGAAAATTTTATATAACTAGACTGGTAAACATGGTTATAAAAATTTCACTATTAGGTATTAAATTTATTGGAATTTTTATGAACTAGGCTGTACATTCTATGGTTAATCCTCAGAATAATCTAGAGTGATCTTTAAATCAGAAAAACATTATGTTTGGTTTAATTTTAAGGCGAACCATATTGTACAGAATGTCAATGTTATACAGATTTCTAAAGAATTTTTAGAATGCTACAGTATCTGATGATTTAAGAAACTTAATACTCCAACCAATAATTAACGGTAATTAAGAAGAACTAAGGGGCTGGTGCTGCGGCAGTGTATCAGGTTAAGTGATTGCCTGCAATGCCAGCATCCCATATGGGGACTGGTTCAAGTTCCTATTGCTCTACTTCCAATCCAGCTCCCTACTAATGTGCCTGGGAAAGCAGCAGAAGATGGCCCAAGCACTTGGTCTCCTGTACCCAAATGGCAGACTAGAACAAAACTCCTGGCTCCTGTCTTCGGTCTAGCCATTCTTGGCCATTATGACCATCTGGGGCATCAACCAGTGGATGGAAGATGTCTCTTGCAACCTGTTTCTAATTTTGCCTCTCAAATAAATAAATAAATCTTAAAAAAAAAAAAAGAACTTGTAATTGAAAAACTGGAATGGATTTTACTGCTCACTGTGGAGGTTTTCAGAATGGTAATGTTCAAAAACTGAACCACAAAGGAATTTTTAGAGTAAAATAAACTGAAAAGACTGTACCTTAAACCTATTTTAGATCCAAGTTACTTATTTTACTAACTGATAGAATAAAAAAGGGAGAGAACAATCCAACATGGGAAGCGAGATACACAGCAGACCCATAGAATGGCAGATGTCCTAAACAGCACTCTGGCCTCAGAATCAGCCCTTAAGGCATGCGGATCCGGCTGAAAAGCCCATGAGAGTATTTCAGGCATGGAAAGCCAAGACACTCTGGGGGAAAAAAAAATGACCTAAATGAAAGATCTCCGTGAGTGAGATCCCAGTGGAAAGAACAGGTCTTCAAAGAAGGAGGTACCTTTCTCTGAAGGGAGGAGAGAACTTCCACTCTGACTAAAACCTTGTCTAAATATGATCAGAGTCGGTGAACTCAAAAGGCTTCCATAGCCTTGGCAACTCATGACAAGAGCCTAGGGTGATTACGGATGCCATAAACAAGAGTGTCAATTTGTTAAGTCAACAACAGGAGTCACTGTGCACTTACTCCTCATGTAGGATCTCTGTCCTTAATGTGCTGTACATTGAGATTTAATGCTTTAACTAGTACTCAAACAGTATTTTTCACTTTATGTTTCTGTGTGGGAGCAAACAGTTGAAATCTTTACTCAATGTTTGCTAAACTGATCTTCTGTATATAAAGAGAATTGAAAATGAATCTTGATGTGAATGGCAGGGGAGAGGGAGTGGGAAAGGGGAGGGTTGTGGGTGGGAGGGAAGCTATTGGGGGGGAAGCCATTGTAATCCATATTCTGTACTTTGGAAATTTATATTCATTAAATAAAAGTTAAAAAAAACCACATGAAATAAAAGAGTACACCCCCTTGTAATAAATCTTGTTCATTTCTGTCCATATTTTACCCTCAGCCTAGTTTTTTTCACAGAATTTTCCCTGCTAGTCTAATTCTCAGTGAAGGAGCTGTTACCACAGGGTGTAGCAAAGGTTACATCAAGAAAATCTATCTGAGGGTTGACAAAACAATTTAATACATACTGGTAACTGTGAGTCATCTATGTTTAAAAACTCAAATATTACTTGAAAGATCTGAAACTCCATGAAAAACCTGCAGGAACTATCTCAGACTGTACCTTAATTGTTCTAGACATGAGAATGAAATTAAGACAGAGTAATATAGAACAGAATGCTTGCTTTTTTACTAGGGTTCATTTCTTAAAATTTATGTAAGTCTACAGCACAAATATTCTTAAAGACCTATATAAAATAACTTGGGCCACCAATGGGCTTAAAATACCAAAACAAAAATCTCTCATACCTCAGTTCTACAATCTCTAGTACTATACTTTGGTGACATTCAATATGAAGATTTTACTAAAAACACTCCTGTAATAACTCATATAATTGTATCAGTGGTTAATTCTCCAGTTCTTCATTGTAAACCTGTTTGCTTTGGAATTTCCCAGTTATATCTATATGATATGGTTTTGTCCATCCCCCTTTTCTCACCTTACAGATATTTAACTGGCAGCATTTAACAAAAACTTGGATGCTTTTAGGAGGGCAAAGGAATGTCTAATTCTCTCTTCTCTATTACTACATTTCCATGTCTCTTATTTGTTTCCTAAGAAGGTAACTGAACTTGCAATTTTATATCATAAAACCCAGAGATCTCACCAAAATATGAAATCATTTTAACTGAAAGCAAGAAGCTGCAGTAAGTGTTGCTCACACTTTAAGTAAGCCTCATGAACCGATGGCATAGGGCCAACAAACTCAACTTCTCTAGGGGCAATCTGGCAATACAAACTGAATATTAAACTGCAGTGGTTATCCTATTTTTAATAACTGAAGAAATGCAGAATGAACATGAATGAGTGCTCATTGAAACACTGTTTATAATCAAGAAAGAATCAAAAAATCATTAAGACTGCTTAAATTAAGCATATGATATTTAATGTATTAGGATTTAAGGATTATTAATTACTAAAAGTATAATGTATAAATACTCAAGAAAAATACATCAATAAAATGATATACATTAATATACACTAATATATTTGATAAAAATTTTCCTGATTGAGTGCAAAATTCTAATTATGAAACAAAATCAACTATAGGATCCTACTTATGAAAAAAATCACATATCTAGACCTATTCATTTATTTTATGACTATGTGAATGAATGTATCCAGACATAGGAGGTACCATAAATGAAGAAACTTTAAAAAGTTCATGGAAAAACTGCAGGTTTCTTTTAAAGCTTTGCTTAATTTTTTTACAATATGCATTTCCACGCAATTTCTGAAGTCCTCTTGTTCTAGGCATCTAGCATATGTAGTGAACAAATCCAAACTTAAACTTTAATGAGGAGAAAAACAATGAAGAATAAGTAAGCAAAGTATAGCATATGTTACAAAGGGATAAATGCACTGGTAGCAGTGAAAGTAGATTATGGAAACATTTTAAAGACAGAGCCATAGATTCTTCCCCAGGAATTGGTTATAGGGTATAAGAAAAAGGAATCAAGAATGACTGCAAGGCATTTGGCCTTTATAATAAAGAATGGAGTTTTCATTAACTGAGGTGAGGGAAACTGTGGGTGAAACAGATGTATAGGGCTAACAGTAGTAGTACAGATTTAAACTGGAGACATCAATAACCTAGAGATGTTGAACAGGTAGCAATGTATGTGTGTGCAAGTGTACTATGGAGGGGAGGACACAGGTCAGAACTGCAGACTTATCAGCACAGTAATAACTGCACATGTATGTTGAGATCTAGAAGGATGTACCAAGATCTGATGGTGATTATCTATGATTGCTTTGGTTTTAGGGAATTCGGCATCTTCTTTTACAAACTTCTGTACTGCATACAAATTTCTGAATGAGTAATATCTTTACGAACCTCTAAATAAGAATATATAGGAATAAAGGAAGTCTGTCTTTATCAGAGTCCTTTATTTTGAGATTACTTAAGGACATACTCAGTGTTACACTATTTGTCTTAGCTCCTTGACAATTAGCTTGAGCCTCAATTTCCTCATTCATAAAATTAAGGAGATGAATTATATCAGATTTCCACAGAGTTTGCATCAGAATGCCACAGGATGCTTAAAAGAGGGCTGGGGAAACTTTTTTCTTTCTAGGCGATTTGCGTATTTATATCATCATTCGCAGGCTATACAAAATTGTCAGCTTAAAAATTAGCATGCTACAGATTTACTGAATTTTGAATCCTGCCTGCGGTTGTCTTGGCAGGGCCAGACCAAATGACTTCATGGGCCTTATATGGTATGCAGGTAGATGTTCATCCCCTGCTTTTCAAGAATTTATATTTGAGTCACAGTTAAACCTACCAACAATCCGTTATTTCCAACATTAGAAAATACACATATAAATCGAAACTTAAATGTAATCTAATTTTAAATGTACATGAGTAATTTTAAATGTGAATGCCAGTTTTAAAATAGTCCTTATTAAACGACTTTACAAACTGAAGTATGCTTTAAACAGAATCCAAGAAATGAAAATTTGTTCTAAATAATAAAATGTTCCACAATCTGATGCCATAAATTAATTCATTTTCTTCTTGTTTGCAAAATGATATGTATGCACATGCATTATATGTAAAAGCATTTCTTTAAAGTGACTCATACCAAAACACTGTTCTTCTCTTTGTTATTTAAAGTGGCTCCAGGAGGAAAATAAGCAGTAGTACTTGTGGTGATATCCAAACTTCTACAAAGGTTGTCCTGAGTGGCACAGTCCATCCATCCTACATTAACTAGACCTTCCTAAAATGAAGAGGAAAAAAAATAAGCCATGCTGTAAATGGAAGAAAAAGTTAAAGAGATTTAGCTTTACTTAGCTTAAAAACACAGTATTCCTGTTATAAAATTAAAACATTTTTAATAGCATTCCATAACTTCAGATAATGAACTGTGGTTTTTCCCTGATATTAAAAATCTACTTTTTACAATTCTTTTTACAAACCTACAGAAAATAACTCTAAGAGTTTCATTATGAATATCCTTTCCATAATTCCAACAGTTCATTAGACACTGTTTTTATAATGCACATTAAAATTATTGCTTTCCTAGTTTTCACATATTTTGGCTGTGCTTCTTTTAATGAGTTCCAAAATCTTGTATGACAAGTACATTTGTTATAGCTTCAAATTACTGAAAAATCTGGGATTGAGCAATTAAACAAACAGTGATATAACACATATTCAACTGGGATCCCAGAAAGATAAGAGAATGGGACAGGAGCAATAATTGAAATAACAGCTGAGAAATATCTACAACTGAAGAAAGATATTAATCTGTATATTCATTAAGTTCACCAAATCTCAAGTAGAATAAATAATTCACATCTATAGGTAGCACATAAAATCAAAGGTAAATATTTTAAAAGCCAAAAGGATAGAAATCGATCTAGGGACTGGTATACAGTGATATAGGCAGGCTTATCCGATAAAATGAATCAGGTTTGTGGGATGGAAGACCACACCCTCTGTGTGAACTCACGCCCCTACCTGACACCGCCTGTACACCCACCTGCCAATCAGGCTACATAATCACTACCTTGTTGGGAGTAAATAAAAGGACTGGAATAAGGTGGGCTCTCCCTTTTGGCCACCTATCTCTGCTTCACTTTGCTGCCATGTTAAGCTACTTGAGGCTGCTCATAACCATATGCTTGCTCCATCTTACCATCTTGTCTGGTCTATTATAGCCAGTATTCAGAATTCTTCCCTGAATAAGTGGCAAGAGCCCACAGACTTATTAATACTGAAAATTACTAATAAGCACTCTGATATCAATAGGAGTATACCTACGTACAAATTAAGTTCCACATTTAAGAGGCATTCACTTTACTGCATTTAAGATTTAGTTAATAAGAAAATGAGTACATACTGTTACAGACAAGGACCAAAGAAACCAAATGACACTTGAGGCTTCCTGAGGAAAGGTACACAATTTATTTATGCATGTGAGATTGACTAGACTGATGATATGGGACCAGTCAGGGAGATAGGATTAGGGTTATGATCTGGAGGCCACACCTCTAGGCCCTACTTTTATCTCACCTGTATCCACCCACCAGTCAGACCACAGAACCACTCCCCTTTTGGAAGTGAGTAAGGAGCACGCTGAGCCCGCCCTCATTTTGCTGCCACATTTGCTGCAAGATTGGTATGGAACTCCCTGTTCACTCTTTCTGACCCAGTCTTCCTTAATAAAGCCCTCATGTTCCTGTGTATTTATCTCACTCTCTAAATAATCTGAACGTTACCATGTTGCATGTCCTGTTTGAGCTGGTGCTTAGAATTCGTCTCTAGGTAGATGACAAGAACCCGAAATATTAAACTTAATATTAATTTAATATTAAATATTAAACTTAATATTAATTTAATATTTAAATATTAAATTTTGGCTTAAGTTAGTCCATAACAGTGTCTCAGGAATCAAGCCCCAATCCTGTCTTTACCTAATTTTATACCCTAAATTTAGCAAGGCAGTAAAGAGGGGCCAGTTTTGGGGAGCACACTGTTACCGCAGGCCCTCAGGGATTAACAAATCACAACTGCAAGGTCAGATAGTTTTACATACAGAAATGAGTAAATTATAACTTAAAGACAGTTTCAAGAGGCACACAACTGCCTTATCTTAGGTATGTGACTAGGCTTTTATGGCAGGTGGGGAATCCATTTCTAAGTTAGTACTGGCTTGCTCAGACCCAGATGGCCTTTGAAGGGACAAGTGGAAGGGACTTTGTAGCACTCCCTTGAACTGGTTCCTTAGTGGCTAGCGGGAGGGGGTCTGTAACATTATGAGATTAAAATATATTACAAGGGAATTGCAGGCATAGTAAAGGAATTGTATTATAGGGCTTTTTCTTTATCTAGAAACTGGATAAGGCAGGATGCATGTTGTAATCTCTAGGGTATTAACTCAAAGAACAGTAAAGAATGAGTGACTAAAGAGCTGATAGTGAGGTGAAACAGAATTTTGGAAACACATGATTAATTTAAAACAAGGCAAAAATAAAAAGAACCCCAGGTGGGACATACAAAACTAATCAGATGGTTAAATATAAAACCAACTGTATCAGGAGTAATATTAAATGTAAATGGACCAAACTAAAGAAAGGAAATTAAGTAAAAATCCAAATCTAACTATGTTGAGAGAAAGACAATACACCTTAAATATAAGGATATCAAAAGGGTGACTGTCAAGAAAACATTGTGGCTGCGTGGGAGGGTTCAGGGTGTGGCTGGGTCTTTGGGCAGTCACTGTGGGTGGCTCCACACATTTGGGGCTCCTTGATTCCCTGGTGAGGGTCACTATACTGCTGCCCTGCTCACATCAAGGGCTGTATACATCCTTTGTGTCATTATTGACAGTGCTGAGGAATACTGTACCCACTGGGGCTAGTGTCCAGGCCCTGGTCTCCTTGCAGGAGAGCAGATAAGTGTGAGACTATGCCAACAGAGCTAAGCAAATCTCCTTTCTGTTAAAAAAAAAAAAGTTACCAGACCCAACTTGGGTGTGATCTTAGACACAGACTTCAATACAATAGTAATGGGGGACTTCAAAACCTCACTTTTAGCAATGGATGGATCAACCAGACAGAAATCAGCAAGGAAACAAGAATTAATTGACAATATAGACCAAATGGACCTAACGGGTATCTACAGAACTTTTCATCCTACAAATACAGAACACAAATTTTTCTCACCAGTGCATGGAACTTTCTCAAGGATAGACCACATGGTAGGCCATAAAGCAAGTCTCAGCAAATTAAAAAAAAAAAAAAAAAACAAACTGAAATCATATCGTGCATCTTCTCAGACCACAACAGAATGAAGCTGGAAATGGACAACTCAAGAATCTCTCAAACACATGCAAACACATGGAGACTGAACAACATGCTCCTGAATGAACAGTGGGTCATAGAAGAAATCAAAAGAGAAATGAAGATGACAACATTACATATCAAAAGGTATGGGATACAGCAAAAGCAGTGTTAAGAGAAAAGTTTATAGCAATTGGTGCCTACATCAAGAAACTAAAAAGGTACCAAATAAATGAGCTATCAATTTATCTCAAGGACCTAGAAAAACAACAGCAAACCAAACCCAAACTAGTAGGAGAAAATAAATAATTAAAATTAGAGAATACAAAACAAAACTGAAACCAAAAAAAAAACAAAAGGACTATGAAGCAAAGAGCTGGTTTCTTTGAAAAATAAACAAAATTGACACACCATTTTTCAACCTACCAAAAAATGAGAAGACCCTAATCAATACAATTAGAGATGAAAAAGGAAATGTAATAAGATATCACAGAAATAAAAAGAATCATCAGAAATTAATACAAAGAGCTGTATGCCAACAAATCGGGAAACCTAGAAGATAGGTTCCTGGATATATACAAGCTACCTAAACTGAGCCATGAAGACATAGTAAACCTAACCAGACCAATAACCAAGGTGGACATTGAATCAGCAATAATGACCCTCCCAACAAAGAAAAGCCCAGGACCAGATGGCTTCACTGCTGAATTCTACCAGGCATTTGAAAAAGAACTAACTCCAATTTTTCTCAAAGTATTCAAAACAATTGAAAGGAATCCTCCCAACTCCTTCTAGGAAGCCAGTCTCACCTTAATTCCTAAACCTGAAAATGCACAACAGAGAACCATAGAGCAATTTCCCTAATGAACAGACATAAAAACCCTCAACAAAATACTAGTCAATCGAATCCAACAATACTTCAGAAAGACCATCCACCCAGACCAACTGGGATTTATCCCTGGAATGAAGGGAAACAAACTGGGAAGGAGGAAGTCAAACTATCCCTATTTGTAGATGACATGATTCTATAATAGGGGATCCAAATGATTCCCCTAAGAGACTACTGGAACTCATAGAAGAGTTTGATAAAGTGGCAGAACATAAAAATCAACACAGAAAAATAAATAGCCTTTGTATACACTGACAATGCAATGACTGAGAAAGAACTTCCAAGATCAATTCCATTCAAAATAGCTAAAAAGAAAAAAAAAAAAAAACTTCTAATAAATTTAACCAAGGATGTCAAAGATCTCTATGATGAGAATTACAAACCATTAAAGAAAAAATTGAGAAGGACACACACACACACCAAAAAAACTGGAAAAATCTTCCATGTTCTTGGATTGGAGGAATCAATATTATCAAAATGTCAATACTTTTGAAAGCAATACACATATTTAATGTGATATCAATCAAAATACCTAAGACATTCTTCTTAGATAAAAAATGCTGAAATTCATATGGAAACACATGAGACCCTGAATAGCTAAAGTAATCTTATACAACAAAAACAAGCTGGAGGCATCACAATACCAGATTTCAAGACATACTAGGGCAGTTAGAATCAAAACAGCCTGGTACTGGTACAAAAACAGATAGACCAATGGAACAGAATAGAAATGCTGGAAATCAACCCACAGATCTACAACCAACATATTGGACAACAGAGCTAAAATCAATCCCTGGAGCAAGGACAGTCCCTTAACAAATGGTGCTGGGAAAACTGGATTTCCACACACAGAAGTATAAAGCAAGTATAAAGCAAGACACCTACCTTACACCTTAAACAAAAATCCACTCAAAATGGATCAAATACCTAAATCTATGACCCGATTCCATCAAATTACTGGAGAACACTGGGGATCTGCAAGCCACTGGCATAGGCAAATACTTTTTTGGAAAATGCCCCAGAGGCACAGGCAATCAAAGACAAAATTGACAAATGGGATTTTATCAAATTGAGAAGCTTCTGCACTGCAAAAGAAATAACTTAGCAAAGAGGCAACCAAAGGAATGGGAGAAATTATTTGTAAACTATGCAACTGATAAAGGATTAATAACCAGAATATATAAAGAGATCATGATAGTCAACAACTACAAAACAACTCAGTGAAGAGATGGGCAAAGGACTTAAACATTTCTCAGAAGAGGAAATTCAAATGGCCAACAGACACACACAAAAATGTACAGGATCAATATCGGTCAGGGAAATGCAAATCAAAACCGCAGTAAGGTTTCAACTCACCCCAGTTATAATGGCGTTCATACAGAAATCAACAAACAACAAATGCTGGTGAGGATGTGGAGAAAAAGGTACCCTAATCCACTGTTGGCTGGAATGTAAACTGGTAAAGCCACTATGGAAGACAGTATGGAAATACTTTAGAAATCTGAATATAGACCTACCATATGACCCAGCCATCCCACTCCTGGGTCTTTACCCAAAGGAAATGAAATAAGCATATGAAAGAGTTATCTGCACCCCCATGTTTATTGCAGCTCAATTCACAATAGCTAAGACATGGGATCAACCCAAATGCCTGTCAACTGAGACTGCTTAAAGAAATTATGGGATATGTACTCTATGGAATACTACACAATGGTAGTACCCACCATTCACTCAATGATCATTCAGAGCATTCTATCATCCTGTAAGCTCCATTCATGATGCTCATAAAACAGAACTGCCTAATAATGCATTTCTCAGGATGTATCTCCTCCATTAAGCAATGCAAGCAGTATATAAAGCAGTAACTGACAGAAATCTATGCGAAAAAGATATACCAACAATTGTGGCTGGATGCTTTAATACGCCCTTCTCAGAAATTATAAATTACATAGTACAAAAATGAATGATGCATATTTGAATAACATAATTACTAAATCTGATCTAATAGTTATAAAATTACACACAATACACATAGAGAACATACTATTTTTGAACTCATACAAAACTTTTTGAATTTTCTCAGTGGACAAAATCCCAAACCACCAAGATACCTTCAATAATGTTAAAAAACCAATGTCATGCAGATATTCCCAAACTATAATATGATGAATGGTAATAAATAAATAACAAAATCACTAAAAAATAAAACAAAATACAGTTTGCAAATGACAAAACTCTAGCATAGAACTTCAGTTAAAGAGAAGTTCCTAAGTGATGACACTGAAAGCAACACATGCAAAATCTACTCAACACAGCTAACTATTTAGAAAGAAACTTATGGCTGTGAATATTTCTACCAGAAAACAAGGATTACAAATAAGTGAGTTAAATGTTCAACAAACTACAAAATGTGGCAATCAATTTCTACATGTGTTCCAAGATGATTTAATTTTATAAAATCATTGATGCTTACCAACATGCCACTAAGCCTCAGTCGTGTTTGTGTAGTCAAACAATCTGAAGAGAAAAAAACTTTGTGAGGCAATTTTGGCTTTTTTAAGCTTATACGTTTTACACACAGACACACACACACACACACACACACACAGTCTCTGACTCTCATTCTTTTATTCCCTCCTGCTAATTTCTAAGGATTTCCAACTATAGAGACTCTCCAACATCTTTTTAGGGTATTGTTCTCTAATCTCTTTCTATATCAGAAATTTACTTTATCTAAAATATGACATGATTTGGGGAAATCAAATGTATCTATTTAGTAAAGGTATTTAAGAATGTCTCAAAATAAAACCTTAAAACAGCTTCCTCATTTTTATGAAAGTTCTGTAAACACGATTGCCATTATACAATAAGTAACAGTGAGAAGGAAGGGACCTATTTCATCACATAGCCTACCAAGGATAGGTGAAAACAATTTACCAGAGGAGAAAATAAAGAGAATGCTGCAAAGTTTAAAAAGTTGGATGGTAAGAAGTCTGGACATTAGGTCAAAATCAAAGAAAACCCAGGCATGAGAGACTAAGTTTAAGATTGGTTTTTGCTCAAATGCAGTATCATCCTTGCAGGATGGTGAGTGGTTGGTTTTAGCTACAAGATAATACAGTCTTAGCAAAGCAGCACAAAGGGTGATAGGTGAAATGTAAAGACTCACGTTGAGATTTAACACATGAATACGTATTAATGAATTAGAGTATTCTGTAACACTGGGGTCAATTTTTAACCAATATCACTGAATACAGTTTGTGGTTTGTTATGTAGGGTGCTAAACTTTCAACTTAATTTACTTAGGGAAATGTTCTTAGAAATGGAAAGGTGCCATCCTCAAATACACAATTTTATGAGGGAAACATATGTATTTTTTATATACCAAATATGAGACAAAGTATAAATTTCAAAAAAAATTACTATTTTGGAGGGAGATAGCTGTAAACAACTATTTTTGCAATCTGCTGATATCCATGACTACCTGAAGGTAAAATTCATCATGACTATAATTAACTTGCCCGCAGAATATAAAAACATAAATAATATATTAATAAGAAACTTGATAATGTGTAAAATAATTAAAAAGGTAAATATTAATTAAGTAAAAAGTTGTAATCTTAGTTATAAATTGTAGTTTCAAATACTGAATAATCAATTACAGTAACATACTTAAAACTGTCACCTACACTTTAAATGTCAATGTCTCTTCATGTTAAGACAATAACAAAGGGCCGGCGCTGTGGCGTAGCAGGTTAAAGCCCTGGCCTGGAGTGCCGGCATCCCATGCGGGTGCTGGCATCCCATGTGGGCACTGGCTCAAGACCCAGCTGCTCCACTTTGATCCAGCTGTCTGCTGTGGCCTGGGAAAGCAGTGGATGATGGTCCAAGTCCCTGGGCCCCAGCACCCACATGGGAGACCCGGAAGAAGCTCCTGGCTTCGGATTAGCACAGTTCCAGCCATTGCGGCCATCTGGGGATTGAACCATCAGATGGAGGAGCTCTCTCTCTCTCTCCTCTCTCTGTGTAACTCTGACTTTCAAATAAATAAATAAATAAATCTTAAAAAAGAAAAAAGGACAATAACAAAATTACCTCCTCCAGTGGAACAGAAAGTGATCAGCCAGCCAATACCAGCAGCAAAAGCGGTTTGTATGGAGTTAACAAAATTTCCTTAAAAGAAGGCAAAACAATTTTTTATTAAAAAAATCTTTGAATATTTTGTTTCAGGAAAGTTTTAAATCTACAAAAGAAAAATTGTGAAGTAGTAATACAAAAAATTCCAAATCACATCCTGCTTCCCTTATTATCAACATCCAATTTCTGATTACCATTAATATTAACAGAAAATAAATCTTCCAAATTATTTTTTCTTTTAATCTCATCCCCTCCCAATCCACTCAACTATGACCAATTATCTCTCTACTTGCACTGAACATGTCAGATCCTTTCGACAGTTTTCCAAGTTGTTCATTACATAAAAATTTAAATTCATTTCTTCATTGAGAAAGAAATTCAAACTGTCACATAAAGCCCCTTGTGATCTCACTTTGTCTACTTACTCAATATTTCTCCCCATACCACTCCACCCCATTACTCACTGTCAGACTCATGAAGTATCAAATTCCCCACATATGCGGTGATCTTCTAAGGCTTCTTATCATTTTTCGTGAATGACTGGGAATGATCTCTTTCAAGAAGTGTTTTCTAACCATTCTTTTTCCTCAGCTGCGTAATATCTTTTATGCTTCCCATGCTTATCTAGCCTAATATTTACTACATTGCATTTTAATTGTTTCAGTGAGGTTGCTGATGGCAGGATTGTGCATTACGGCACCAGTCCTAGTTTCTGACACATAACTGATATTCAGTGATGAAATGAACATCCTTTTAATTGTGAAAACTATCATTTCATGGATAGTTCAAACCAAGTATCTGATTAAATTACTTGATGAATTAAAAGCCAAAATTAAAATTTTAAACTTTAAACTGGATAGGCGTGAATTTACTGCCTGTTATGGACACCTATGAAAGCAATCACACACCTGGATTACTGAACATTTAGTAGTACTCTGAAAGACAAAACCTTTTCACTGAGTCTCATCTCCTAGCCACTGACAAAATCTTCATGGTTGCAGTTTCTGTACAATTCTAGTTTCTACTATTCAGCAGAGATGAAAGAAAATGACAATTCCCTTCTAAGAAGCATAGAGAAGATATTTAACATCTCACAATTTCAAAATATCCTTGAGATTCAAGAAAACTAAGGAAAAAATTACCTGTTGTTAGTTCTGTCACTGTGCTTCTAACATGCTGCATGGCAAAATTCACTAAACTTTCTTTCGATCTGTCTCCATGATACTTCACTGCAGCCTATTGATTTTTTAAAAAGAGAAAAATCTTTTACTTTTTAAAACTCACTAAAAAACCTATGTTTTTATTTTACATTATTTTAAACAATGCAGTGACCTCTATTTTTCAACAGTATAGCATATTTCTTTCTTTCCAAATGTTTATTTAGGGGGCTGGCACTATGGCATAGTGGGTTAAGCATCTGCCTCTGGTGCCGGCATACCATGTGGGTGCCAGTTCGAGTCCTGGCTGCTCCACTTCTGATCCAGCTCTCTTCTACGGCCTAGGAAAGCAGTAGAGGATGGCCCAAGTCCTTGGGCCCCTGCACCCGCATGGGAAATACGGAAGAAACTTCTGCCTGGCTCCTGGCTTCAGATTAGTCCAGCTCCAGCTGTTGTGGCCATTTGGGGAGTGAACCAGTAGTTGAAGACCTCTCTCTCTGCCTCTGCCTCTTTGTCACTCTGCCTTTCAAATAAATAAATAAATAAATAAATAAATAAATAAAAGATCATGGGAAAGGCACATTATGAAAAAACTATTCATGGATCTCAAAAATTTTAAAAAAATAAAACATTTATTCATTTTTATTCAATTTGAAAGGCAGAAAGAGGGGGCTGGTATTGTGTCACAGCGGGTAAAGCCACTGCCTAAGATGCCACATCCCATATTTGAGTGCCAGTACTTTTGATCCCTCTCTTTATTAATGGCCTGGGAAAGCAGAGGAAGATGGCCCAAGTGTTTGGTTCCCTGTACCCACATGGGAGACCTGCAAGAAGCTCCTGGCTTCAGCCTGCCCCAGCGCTGGCGGTAACAGCCATCTGGGGAGTGAACCGGAGGAGGCAAGATGTCTATTTTTCCCTTTCCCTCCTTCTCTATAACTCCTTCAAAATAAATACATAAATCTGTAAAAAAAGAAAAACAGACACAGAGAGCTCTTCCATCTGCTAGCTCACTACCCAAATGCCCCCAATAGCCAGGGGCTGCCAGGTTGAAGCCAGCAACCAGAACCCCAACTTGAGTCACCCCCTGAGTGGCAGGACTCAGTACTTCAGCCATCATTTGCTGCCTTCCAGGTGTGTTAAAAGGAAGCTGGATGGAAAGCAGAGGCAGAGGGGGGACTCAATCCCAAGCACTCAGATACAGGATCCAGGTGTCCCAAGTGTTAGCTTAACTTGCTGTATCAAAATGCCCACCTCAGTTTAGTGAATTTCTAAATGATACTTTGAGAATCTCAGATTCATAGATTTTATGGATGATATTTTAGAAACAATATTTTTAACAGTTTTAGTTTCAATTTCATCATTGGAAATTGGAAATACTAGAGCCATGTACTCAATGAAATGAGACTTGTAAGAACGTTTCATAAAGTACAAAGCTCAACATGCATATTGAATAAATTATATTAAGGTAGAAACTAAAATGGGCAGACATTTCATTTTGAAATGCAGCAAAGACGAAGTAATGGCATCTAATGTTTTTATTCATAAAATAATTCAAAATATTTACTACTGGAGCCTAATTAGATGGCTCCAAAATTGAGACTTAAAAAAAAAAAATCACAACAAATTCACATGCTGTGCCTTCTCTGGTATTTTGTTTAAAGTTCCACAGATTTGAAAAATGCCAACTTTATTCCTTACCATTCCAGATCTAAAAATGAAGAGGCTGGGATAACTGTTGACTCCTTTCATTCGGCAAAGCATTCTATCATCACCACAATTAACAGCTCCAATCCGAAGCAATCCATCTACTTCTTTGGCAAAGTCTCTCCACTATGAGAAGAAAGGAAAACAATTACTTCTCTGATAAGTTCATTCTTCTTCAAGCTATACTTTCTGCAAGGAGAAAATTTTTATCGAATAAAACCATACAGACATGAAAGCACTAATAATTACTTCTGATAGTTACAGTTACTATTAATGGGAAAAAACCCAACATACTAAAAAATGGAAAAAAATGTATATATAACAAATCAATTAGAAAAAGCTTTAATAATCTAGATATAAAAAATACATACGGTAGGAGCCAAATCATGGCAGTGTGAACATCCTGGGGAGTAAAAGTTTACAAACCATAGTTCTCCAGAATTAACAGCAGCATCTAAAAATATATAATACAGAAACATCTTAAAATTACTTGCTAAATGTTCACATGTTTTAGTTAAAAAATTTTTTTGTTGCAGCAGAATGGAAGTCATAAATTTTTCATACTGCCTTTATCATTTTCTGTGTAACTTTTTTCTATAAAAAGAAAATGTTATTTCAAATGTTAACTCTCTGAAGCACATTAGTAAACAAGTAGCAGCCTTGAAATACAAGATGAATTTGGCCATGATGCTATAAAGAGGGATGGTATAAGGAAATAACAGCCATACTTCATATAAGAGAGTTTATGTGGATAAGAGAAATAAAGAGAAGCAATGCAAGTGACAGAAATTCTAGTATTGCCTAACGCATAGATTAAGGATAGAGGTCTTGAATTTTTCCTTCTAAAATGTTTTTTATTTATTTTCTTTTCCTTTGAAAGGCAGAATGGCAAAGAGAAAGAGAAAGAGAGGGAGAGACAGAGGGAAATCAAGAGATCTTCTATCTGCTGGTTAACTTCCCAAATGTCCACAGTAACCAGGGCTGGGCCAGGCCAAAGCCAGGAATCTGGAACTCAATCTGGGTATCTCATATTGGTGGCAGGGACTTCAGCTACTATCTGCCACCTCTCAGGATGCACATCAGCAGGAAGCCGGAGAGGAAGTAGAGCAGCTCGACTATAACCAGGCACTCCAACGAAGGATGCAAAGTCCCAAGCAGCAAACATGCCTGCCCCAGTCCATTATAACAGTGGCTTCTAAATTTGAATGAAGCAAGTGACCTACGTGATTTAACAAGAATTATCAAGATCAAGTTTAATCATTTAAATAGGATGTTTACCATGTAAAAATCATACTGCTTGAAAAGTGTAAGATAAAGTTTAAAAAAACTCAAAGCATTCATAAATTATCTGCTGAAGTGATAGATTTGAACACCATATAACATCTAGCCAGCAGTTCAGTGTATATCATAATCTGTAAAATGACCTGATGGAAGTAAACAAAACTTACTCATTTTAAACATTTTAACACCATAAGGATGTACTCTGACATTCAAGATAAGAGGTGAAGGTAACTTACTTTTGTTTTTGTTTTTTTTTGGTTTTTGGACAGGCAGAGTGGACAGTGAGAGAGAGACAGGGAGAAAGGCCTTCCTTTACCGTTGGTTCTGCGCTGATCTGAAGCCAGGAGCTTCCTCCTGATCTCCCATGTGGGTGCAGGGCCCAAAGACTTGGGCCATCCTCTACTGCCTTCCCGGGCCACAGCAGAGATCTGGACTAGAAGAGGGGCAACCGGGATAGAACCCGGCGCCCCGACCGGGACTAGAACCTGGTGTGCTGGCACTGCAGGCGGAGGATTAGCCTATTGAGCCACGGTACCGGCCGGTAATTTACTTTGATTTAAAGAAGTTTCATGTAATTCCATACCAAAATCAGTTATCAGTAATTTAAGTTTCCATAAATTATAGTAAGACATCAAACTACACATGCAGACTTTCCTAAATATACACGCAGTTGATTTAGGTTTATTAGAAACACATTCAGGACTCAACATTCATCTACGTTTCAACTGTAAGATAGATCTGTGGGAAAAGTTAAGCTGTATATTACAAGTAAGGTATATAAATCAGGATTTTATTTGCTGTTCTCTGCCAACATTTAAAATGTCCAATAGACAAATCTAGGTGGTGGAAATAACTACCAAGCCACTTCGAGACCTAGCTGCAACCCCTGGGATTCAACTCCTTGCTAATGTGCCTGGGAAAGCAGTGGAGGATGGCCCATGTGCTTGGGCTCCTGTACCCACGTGGGAAACCTGGAAGAACCTATGGGAGTGGATAGAAGATCTTTTGCTCTCATTGTCTCTCCCTCTCTGTAACTGCCTTTCAATTAAAAAAAAAATTACAAAAAGAAAAAAAAAAAAACGAACTGCCAAGCTGGCTTATAAACTGGTATTATTTTGGGTAAAAGTTCTACTAGAATTAATGAAACCTTAATAGAAAACAGATAATCTTACTAGATATAGACTACTAATGTGATTATTTACACATAAAAATAGAGCAATAACCAGACAAGGTGTTATTGTTCCTAAGTCAAATGAAAATATGATGTTAATACAAGTGTGAAAGGATTCAATTTGTCACAAAACCTTGTTTACTTTGAAAATGTCTATCTTGGTATTTTGTTTCCATAGAGCACGTCTAATATATTTCTAGTTTCCACTGTCTGTTGAGTAATAAGTTTAAAAATGTTTTATATCCAGTATTATCACAGTTCAATGGGATGATTCTGCATAACTCAGTGGCCCAGAATGGAATTTGTTTATTTCAAAATGCAACTTTCTGGGGTTTAGTGTTCAGCCCACGTGGTTAAGATGCAGCTTTAGGACATCCACATCCCATATTGGAGTACCTGGATTAAAGAGTCCTGGCCCTACTTCCAGTTCCAGGTTCCTTCTAATGTGCCCTGTGGGAGGCAGCAGGTGATGATCATGCTACCGATGCGGGTGATCTAGATTGGGTTCTAGTCACCTGGCTTTGGCTTGGCCCAGCCCTGGTTGTCACAGCCATTTGGGGTGAACCAGATGATGCAAGCTCTTTTTCTGGCTACCTGTGTCTCCTGTTCATCTTTCAAATACAGTGAAAATTTAAAAAAATTATAAATTCAATTTTCAGCTTCTAAACCACATAACTATGACTAATGTCTATTAATACTGATACAATAGCTTCTGTTGACAAAGCAAACTACAAGGCAGAAATGCTTAAGTTCCTCTCCTTGAGCTGTATTTAAAAAGATGTCTGTGTGTACACCATTCAGAGTGATTAGTACACATGTGAGATGTTCTCTGCTTTTGTAAAATCTATCTATAGCTTACACATAATGACTGAAATCCATGCATAGTATGGTCACAAACACATTTTCCATGAACTTTTTGAAGATTCCCTCATATGCATGGATTTCAAATTATGTTGGCACCAAAATAAACTTATCTTTTAATTCTATTTTTCCACCAACTCTTTGAAGTACACTTGTACTACTGCACTGAACAAATGTACCATGTTTAATGGAAAGGATGAAAACATTTTAAAAGTTTTAAATATGGAGCTTATTAATCACATTTTCTCTTTTGTACTACAACTGAACATTCTGGCATTAAAAGTGAACTACCATGTAATTTGGACTAACTCTCCAACTATAGACAAGTAAGTGGAAAACTGCATAAAATATAAAAGACCTCTGTTGAAACCATCAGTTACCAATGCAATGAACCAATAGGGGTCCAAGGTATGGGAGGAAGTGGGAATCAGAGAATAAGTGTTTGCCTTTCTATAAGAGGTAGCTGACAAGAAACAGCAGAATTTCCTATAGATCCATGAGCCTAGAAGCACAAAAGGGGCGTTCAGTGCACGTGTAAGGCTCTGTAAATACAAAAACAAAACTGGAAAGTGACTACTCCTCTCAAGGACCAAAGATCAGCTTTTCAAACATTTCAGGCTGTTTGATAAAGTTTATTTGAGATAGTTGATGGCGCTAGCCAAAAGAAAACACAGTTCCTTGCTGCAGGAAGAGAACAAAAATAACTTTAAAAATAACTATAATTCTTCATATAATCATTAAAAAAAAAGGCAAGACTAAATAATTCAAACAATACAAACTGGTAATAGAAACTGTGACCTACAAACCAAGTAGACTGAATTGATATTTACATTAAGTACAAACTGATTCTCCTATCCACCTTTGTTCTGCTTCTTCAACTCAAACTTCAGGATTATCTTGTCTTAGCCTACTAATACCAAGAGTAGAATTAGAGATCAGATATAATAATGGCAAATATATATTTCAAACCTATCAATATTAGTTAATCAACTCAGAATTATCTCTTAAATTTCCTGGCTCTAATTTATTTTGTTTGGAGATATATATAAACTATTAGCAATTCTTAACATTTTCTCCAGTGACAAGTGAAAAAGTCTGAATTCATATGCAGTGTAACTAACTGTAAAGCCTAATTCTGGGTGGATTAATAGATTAGTCAGCTTACAGGTTTTGTTTAGTTCCCTTGATTCTCTCTATAATTAAAATGATTTCTGACCCACTGTTCCACAAAAAGATTCACTAATATATGAGGAGATGAGACACAGTAACATGTAGCTTGCATAAACACATGTAGTAATGATTCTACTGGCTTGTGACATGGGTATTAGTTCTGTCTACCAACAATCCACATGAGTCTAATTTTCTTCTTTTCCTTTGTAGGAAGATACATTTTCTGTTCACCTAGGACTTGTATAAGTGTTAGCATGCAAGACTTGTAATAAAATAATGTATTTAATAGTTACTTTGTATGCCTGAGCTCACCAACATGATGTAGAAAATAAAACGAAATCCTTGCTTAGAAGGAAGTGAACAAAATACAGTGGCTACAATACATCTTTTAGGATGATAATATATGATAAGCCTATAGGTACTCATACATACATTTTTTTCAACTGGCTTGCTATTTTAGTTTTCTAAATTAAATGATACTGAAATAGAGAAAAATAAAAATTGGAATTTGGTTTGAGGCAAATTTATTGTTTTGAAGTAGAAAATGAGGAATAGACCTATTATCACCACACAAAGGCTGAAAGTAAAAGAATCAAATATTTGTCATTTCCTAATGCAGTGGAAAATACAAAACTGTATTTTTATTCCCATTTTCACATAAATCACAGATCAAATTAAATCTCCTTCCAAAATAACTACATATTTATTCAGAACTAAAATCACAAAGCTCTGAAACTCTTCAACAAGCCTGTAGCAAGCTGACTTAGCATCTACTATGTCTTGGACTTGTTTTGTGCCCTGCAAAATTCATATTGAAATACATCCTCCACTGTGAGGTAGTAAGCGGATGGAAATTTAATCCACATGTAGTATTTAGAGGAGGGTCCACTGGATAATGATTAGGAATAGTTAAGGTCACAGAATGGAAAGTCTGTCATTAAATCCTGGTGGCTCTATAACATGGAGACCAGGACACACATGTGCTCCCTGTTGCCATGTGATACCTTGGGACTCTGCCAGCAGAAGGCTGTTACAAGGTGGGCCCCCTTAGTCTTGTATCAGAACCATTAGCCAAAATAAAACTTTGTTGTTTTTTTTTTTTTTAAATAAAAATTTTTTTTTTTTTTGACAGGCAGAGTGGACAGTGAGAGAGAGAGACAGGGAGAAAGGTCTTCGTTTACCGTTGGTTCACCCTCCAATGGCCGTTGCGGCCGGCACACCGCGCCGATCCGAAACCAGGAGCCAGGTGCTTCTCTTGGTCTCCCATGTGGGTGCAGGGCCCAAGAACTTGGGCCATCCTCCACTGCACTCCTGGGCCACAGCAGAGAGCTGGACTGGAAGAGGAGCAACCGGGACAGAATCCAGCGCTCTGACCGGGACTAGAACCTGGTGTGCCTCCGCAGGCGGAGGATTAGCCTAGTGAGCTGCGGTGCTGGCCTGTTTTTTGTAACTTATCTAGTATGTGGTCTTATGTTATGAGCAAGAGAAAATAGACTAAAATAGTATCGAAACTATTATGAACTGATACAGACTACATATTATTTTTACTATTTTTACTTGGTATAAATACTTTGCTGCAGAAACATTAATGTTTTTATTATGGGACACTGCTCTATATTCTGCTAAGAACATTATTTAATATACTGGATATATCACATTTCCTTTCTAACATCTAAAGAGTTTCTAAATTCCAAACACATTTGGAACTCATGAGTTTTAGGTAAGAGACTGAACTTGTTCAAGTTTTAGAAAATCATAGGCTCACAAACTTACCAAATTCTCTTCTTTCTAATGTTATGATTTCAGGATCATCATCATAAATACCTAATTTTAAAAGTATACAAAAATTATAAAATTAAAATATATTACCACATAAAAAGATTACTCATTTTAATCATGAAAAAATCAGTTACCTATACTAAATCTCAAACTCAAACATGCAATTTAAAAAAACCCAAAATAATAATAATTATTGACAAATTTGAAGAGTGATCTACACATACTAGATTCCTCATATGGACTGTTATAGGAGTGTGTGGGAGGGTTCTTATTAGTCATATAGTCTCATCTACACAGAAAATTTGTTTTTAACTTTTGATTTTAAATTATAGACTCATAGGAAGCTGCCTAACCAGTATAAACTCTCATGTCCCCTTCATCTAGCTTCCCCTAACAGTGTCAGGTTATGTAGCTGCAGTACAGTACTAAAACCAGGAAACAGTGTGTAAATGAGAGTATATTACTGTTACCTACACAACAGACCTCATTCAGTTTTCTGACTGTGGTTTTTAATAAGTGGCATCACTATCAAGTGTTTTCCACTGCTAAAAATCTTGTACTTACAACTTATGTACAGGTAAAGATAAAAACGTTAAACAAACTATTTGCCACAATAATTACTGTCAATGTGAGAAAATTTCTTATTACTATATAAAATATCCAAATCATATTAACAATGAATATAGACCAGAAATCAGCAAACTTTTCTGTAGAAACTATTAGTAAGTATTTTAGGCTTTGGGCAACATGTAGTTTCATCGCAACTACTCAACTCTGCCTGTGGGGTGTGAAGAGAGTCACAGACAGTATGTAAACAAATGAGCATAATGGTATCCCACTAAAATGTCATTTACAAAAACAGGTGGCAAGCCGGATTTGGTCAATGCAGTGCAATTTGCCAACACCTTATAAAAATTCCCAAGCTGTTTAGAAGACACTTGAAAATACTACTTTGAAAATAAAACAGTTTTGGGAAGTAAACTCTCCAGATATAAAGTACACTGAAATAAAAGTGTACTTCGGTTCTTTATATGCCTTTAAGGATGAATAACAACCAGGAGAAACATTGCTTATCTAAACACACTCTTCCTGCCTTAATAACTTGTGTTTACTTTCTCTCTGCCTTAGTTCCTTTAACTTGTTTCCTCCCTCTGCTCTTGCCTTACTTTTTCTTACTCTTATCAACACCTTAAAAGTCATTATCAATAAGGGTTCTAAATTAGATGGATGGCAATTTCTTACTAAATAAGACATGCTAAATTTTTTTGAAAGACTTCAATATTTAAGTAATCTTTACTTTAAAAGTATTTAAGATCTAACAAATACATCTTCACTTGTGTAAACATAATTTCTATATAATAAACTTTCCTTTAAAACATTTTTTAAAAGATTATTTTAAAGGCAGAGCCACAGCGAAGGAGAGAGGGAGAGATAAAAGAGAAAGAAAGAGATAGAGATCAATCTTCTATCCACTGGTTCACCCCCAAATGGCAGCAACAGCCAGAGCTGGGCTGATCCGAAGCCAGGAACCAGGAGCTTCCTCCAGGTCTCCCATATGGGTGCAGGAGCCCAAGGACTTGGGTCATCCTCTGCTGCCTTCCTAGGTGCATTAGCAAGGAGCTGGATCCGAAGCGGTGTAGCTGGGACTCGAACCGCAGCTTTAATCACTATGCCAGTGATGGTACCTATGGTAAACTAAGGAGTTAAAACAGGGGCCAGCATCATGGAATCCTGGTGTAGTGGGTTAAGCAGGATGCCACCAGCATCCATTTGGGTACTAGTTGAGTCCTGGCTGCTTTACTTCTGATCCAGCTCCCTGCTAATACACCTGGGAGAGCAGCAAAGGATGGCCCAAGTATTTGGGCCCCTGAACCCACGTGGGAAACCTGAAAGCTCCTGGCTCCTAGCTTCAGCCCAGCTCAACCCTGGCTGTTGTGGCCATTTGGGGAGTGAACCACTGGCTGGTAGATCTCTCTTTTCCTTTCTCCCTCTCTCTCTAACTCTGCCTTTCACATTAATAATAAATCTTAAAAAAAAAAGAATTAAACAAAATGATATATAACACATAATAAAGGATTGAAACAAAATTAACTTTCACTCAGATAAAAAAACAATTTCCTAAGTAAATATCACCTTACCAAAATCGTAACGATAATAGTTCCAGCTTTCATACTGGCCACCTTGATTATCTTCAAGTCCCTTTTCTCCATATTTGTCATACTTTTTTCGAAGATCCTCATCTTTGAGTACTTCATATGCTCTATTTATCTTTAAAAAATCACCATGTGCATTTGGGTTATTCTGTTAGAAAAGAGAAGACATAGTTAATGTACAATGCAAGCACCTTCAGAGCCTCCATGTAGATTTCAAAACGCAGAAAATCTGGGAGATCAGATACCAACATAAGGAGGTCCAATGTGATATGAGTTAGTCAGGGTTGAAATAAAGTAGTATTGTCTAAGGAACTACAATATTCAAAAAAACAATATAAACAGTAAGGGAAATAAGAACTGACTCTAAAGACTGACCAATGTAGTCATACAATCTACGTCACTCCTTCAAAGAAATGCAGCTGGGGCCAGTGCTGTGGCATAGCAAGGCCAACACCTGCAGTGCCAGCATCCCATATGGGTGTTGGTTTGAGTCCTGGCTGTCTCCACTTCCGATCCAGCTCTCTATATGGCCTGGGAAAACAGTAGAAGATTGCCCAAGGACTTGGGCCCCTGTATCAGTGTGGGAGACCTGGAAGAAGGTCCTAGCTCCTGGCTTCGGACCGGTGCAGCTCTGACCGTTGTGGCCATCTGGGGAGTGAACCAGCAGATGGAAGACCTCTCTGCTTCTGTCTCTCTTTAACTCTGCCTTTCAAGTAAATAAATAAAAACTTAAAAAATTCAGCTGAGAAAAAAACTGACTAGTAAGTCCTCTGAATCACTTTATAAATATTTGTTGCTTTAAAGACAACTTACATAAGTCTATAGGTTATTTTTCTATTTGAGGCAAAATCAACACAATAACTATAAAAAGATACATGCTCCAATCAGAAAATTAAATGAGAACTAACCAGAGTACCAATTCAAAATTGCATTAGAAACCTCTCTCTTTTGTTACTGTTTCATAGAACTGGTTTTTAAAGGACTCTTGCTTAAAAATACTTGAGGGTGAGTGTTGTGGTACAGGGAGTTAAAACAGCTGCCTGCAATGCCCTGGTGACAGTTGGGAGTCCTAACTGCTCCATTTCCAATCCAGCTCCCTGCAAATGTACCTGGATAAGCAGAGGAAGATGGCCCAAGTGCTTGGGCACCTACACCCACATGGGAGACCAAGATGTAGTTCCAGGCTCCTGGGCTTCAGTCTGGCCCAGCTGGGACTTGTTGAACCACTTGAGTAGTGAAACAGTAGATGGAAGATGTCTGTCTCTTCATTTCTCTGCAATTCTGCCTTTCAAATAAATAAATCGAATCTAACAAAAAAAAATTTGGATGTACAAGGTCTACCATCTTTCCTATGAAAGCTTAAAAATCACATTCTGAAATTTCAAAGACAAATCTAAAAGACAAAATTCATAATGAAAAAGATAACTAATAGTTCAAAGAAATATTGTGGGGGCCTGGTGCTGTTGCACAGTGGGTTAAAGTCCCAGGCTGCAGCACTGGCATCCCATATGGGTGCCAGTTCAAGTCCTGGCTGCTCCACTTCCAATCCAGCTCCCTGCTAATGGCCTGGGAATACCTGGGAAATGGTAGAGGATGGCCCAAGTCTTTGTGTCCTTGCACCTCTGAGAGAGACCCAGAGGAAGCTCCTGGCTTCGGATCAGCTCAGCTCCAGCCATTGCCGCCATTTAGGGAGTGAACCAGTGAATGTTACCCGTCTGTCTCCGTCTCTATGTCTCTCTGTAACTCTATCTTTCAAATACATAAATCTTAAAAAACAAATATTGTCTATTGTTAAGCTTTATGCAAAATGAAATAATCATATTTAAAAATTCCATCAAGAGGAAAACATAACTGTTCTTTTTGTCATTAATGAAGGCTAAATCTTACTAAGGCTTAATTAGGTAACTTATTAAAAATGCCATAAAAATTAAAACGAATTTAATTTAAAAATATTATTGGATATGTAATCACAATAGTGGCAGTGTATTTGGCTGTTCTCAAAGTTCTTGTTTACAAGGCTTCTGAACTCTTGTCTATGGATATATGCACAGAATAGCAAAAGTTAAAGCACACTATTAACTATTACTGTTAATTTAGTAACACATACCCTGAATTTTAAAGAAATTCCCCTGCTATTGTTCTAAAATATCTATATATATATTTTAAAATTTTACTTATTTATTCAAAAGCCAAAGAGGGAGAGAGAGAGAACTCCCATCTGCTGGGGCTGGGTGGACCCTGCTCAGTCTGGATCTCTCATGTGAGTGGCAGAGCTCCAGTCACCGAAGTCACCACTTGCTGCCATTCAGAATGCACATTCAGAAAGCTGGAACCAGGAGTGAAGCCTGGACTTCGATCCAGGCATTCCATCAAGGGATGCGAGCGTAACTGGTGTCTCAAATGCTACGCCAATGATGGCCCCTTTGTACTAAAACACCTAATCTCAACCCACTTTCCGAAGGAAACTACCTCACAGACATTGTTGTTTTGAGATTAATGTCTTTAATAGAACAGCTGCAAATTAGTTTACAAGTTAAGGCTGGCATTTTTGGTGCTGTCATTCCATCACACAGTTCTAAATCAGAACCCTTTGCTCTTTTTCCATTTTAGCATAGCAACTTAATTACAGGTTTTGATGTAGAATTGTTCTTAGGCATGTTGAACACTTTAAATAAAAACACAAAAACATGCTATAATACAACAATCAGGTACTTAAAACATTTTTTTTTACCTACCGGATTTTTATCAGGATGTAACTTCAATGCCAATTTCTTGAAAGCTTGTCTTATTTCTCTGCTGCTTGCAGTTTTGGACACTCCAAGTAAACTATAAAAATCCTGATCAGTGCCCACTAAAATGGCCATATACACTATCAGAAAACAGAAACCGATCCTTTTCAAGTCTCTGATATAGGCATCTTTATTTAAGCAGACTCCCATTCTCTTTTTTAATACAAGCTCTGATTTAAGTGAACATTAAGATTCACTGCTGGTTCCAGTTGATATAATATGCAACTCTGGGAACTTTTGTCCACATTACTTCGAGGGTCAATCAAGCCTTACAAAATTGGCTCCAAAGCATTAATCTAAAGGAAAGAAACCAGGCAATTAAAAATGTGTTTCAAATTAACCAGCAATTACACGTTTTTATCAAATAACATGGTCAGCAATACAATCTCTAGTAAGCGGCAAATCACTATCAGTGCCCCACACTCTGGGCTCCTTTCTTCACTGCTTCCACATTCAAAGATCCAGATTTGTGAGATCACTCAAGATAGGAAAAAAAAAAAAACAGGTAGTGAGTGGTGGTAACTAGTTAGAACCACTAACTAGTTACTAACTAGTGGTAACTAGTTAGAACACTTACATACACACCCAGCAATTTATACGAAGAGCTTCTTACTGGCATCACAACACAGGGTGGAAATAAGCTTGCTTGCTTTCTTTCCTGTTTTTCCCCAGTGAAGTGCTGTCTTTTAGTAATACCAGTTTCTGTTTTATTTACTTCTTTATCCCCTTAAGGCTGTCTAGTTTTAATCAGATCTCACTTCCAGGAAATATCCTTTGAGGGGACCAGAAGCAGATTCCTCTCAAAGGGCCCACCGTCTTCCTAAACTGTTCCTAACAAGGCAGTGAGTTACACTTTTTTTTTTTTTTTTTTTGACAGGCAGAGTGGACAGTGAGGGAGAGAGACAGAGAGAAAGGTCTTCCTTTGCCGTTGGTTCACCCTCCAATGGCCGCCGCACGGTGCTGATCCGATGGCAGAAGCCAGGTACTTATCCTGGTCTCCCATGGGGTGCAGGGCCCAAGCACCTGGGCCATCCTCCACTGCACTCCGGGGCCATAGCAGAGAGCTGGCCTGGAAGAGGGGCAACCGGGACTAGAACCCGGTGTACTGGCGCCACAAGGCGGAGGATTAGCCTATTGAGCCGTGGCGCCGGCTTAGTGAGTTACACTCTTAAAGGGACATCCTTTTTCCTTGAGTTTTCTCATAAGTCAGCTAAAGTGAATTTAGGTGGACACTGTTTTATACAAACATTAGGATAGGGGCCGGCACTGTGGCACAAGCAGGTTAAAGCCCCGGCATCCCATATGGGTACCAGTTTAAGTCCCTGCTGCTCCACTTCTGATCCAGCTCTCTGTTAATGTGCCTGGAAGAGCAGTGGAGGATGGCCCAGTCTTTGAGCCCCTGCAACCATGTGAGAGACCCCAGAAACAGCTCCTGGCTCCTGGCTTTGGATCGGCTCAGCTCTGGCAGTTGCAGCCATTTGGGTAGTGAACCAGCGGATGGAAGACCCCTCTCTCTCTCTCTCTCACCCCCCCCGCCCCGTAACTTACAAATAAATAAATCTTTTTTAAAACACACTAGAATAAAAACTGCAAACTACCAGTGTAGTTCTACTGCAAACTTCATGCTTGGTAGAAACAAACAGGAAAAGAAACAGAAACGGAGAAGGAAATCAGTTATTTAGACCTGTCCACCTCTCCAAGGTAAAAATAATCTTCACATCATATCTAAACGTGTAGTTTCGTTCCAGAGATCTCAGAAAGCTCTGAAAATCTAACTTCCCGGGCATCCTGTCAGTTTCTCCTTTCTCAATTCAATTCTCGATTTAAGAAGAATTTCTCCTTACCTGTGAATTAGCCTTCCTCCTGTCTAAGCCCTGCTTTTCCTCTCATAAACACAGACCTTGTAAAACATACCGAGAGCGAACAAGCCACCACAGAAAAGGAGAACACGTTCTCACGCCCCACTTCGGGATCAGGTGCTCCTGGCTTAGCGGCTGCTCTGGGTCAGCGTGGGCGTGGCTGCCCGGCCCAGGGCCCCAGCGGCAGCACAGGTGGACGCCGCAGGTAAAGGCTACGCGAACGCTCCGAAGCCGCCCTCCCTCCAGCGCCGGATGGGGCACTATGGAGACGGGGCTCTGTTGGGGGCACGCACTGTCAAGTCCTGCTGGCGGCTGAAGGAGAAGACAGCCTGAGCAACTGGGCTGAAGTGCGAAACTGGAGCCAGGGGCGGGGGGCGGCCGGGCAGACGAAGGGTGCAGCGGGGAACACCGGGAAGCAGACGCGGAGCGAGCCCGCACGCCGCCGGCAGGGGCGGAGAGGAGGGGACACCCCGGCGCGCAGGCATCTCACCCCTCCCCTTCCCGGAGGTCCCGGGGCCCCCCGGCCCGTGCCCACCTCGCCTGCAGCAGCTCCTCATCCTCGATCCCAGCGCCGGACTCCGCCCAGCCGAGCCCAAACCGTGCTGGCGGGAAGGAAGCACGCACTCTCCGGCCGCCGGGCCCCCGTGCTCGGGAGAGGGGAGGACGAGACGCACCGGCAGCGAAGAGCGCGCGCGGCCAGCGCCGGTCGGCTCCTAGCGCGCCGGTATCCACGGGGAGCCGGGGCGGGGCCTGGCGCCAGGCATTGTGGGAAAGGCGTAGGGGAGTAGGCCGGCCTGACCGGCAACGGGCCTGGAGGGCGCGGCGCCTGCGGCGGCGACGGCAGCGGCAGCGTGACAGGGTGGTGCAGGGTTAGGTTGACGTGGCCATTGTGCGGGATCCGGCTCCGGCTCCGGCTCTAACCCGGAGCTGAAGGGCACGCTGTGTCCGAGCAGCCCGCGCCCCCGCACGGACGCGGCGGGCCAGCGGAACAGAGGCCGACGAGGCCCGCCCCTTCCTGGTTCCGTTGCCCGGGTAACCGGGAAACCCGGAGGGCGGGTTCGCGGTGCGATTTGTCTGTGACCCTGTCCGTAAAGGGAAGCCGGGACTGCGGGGAATTTGCGGGGTTGAGGAGTGGGTTCCGCGGAGCGCGGGAAATTTGGCAAAAAAAAAAGGGGTGCTTTCTTGAAATGGTATCAATTGCGGTATCCGCCTAGAGTATTGAAGAGGCCGTAGGAAGCTTGGGAAGAATAAAATTGTTTACAGTTTTGTGTGAGTGTATCAAACGTTTGAACATCGGCCCGTGCTTCCTGGCTTCCGAGTCGTCCAACGTAGAAATCGGGTACTTTAAGTCCTCTTATCTTTATTTGGTTCGGAAACTACATTTCTGATCCACAGCAAAATAACGATTGAAGGAACTACATTTATAAGATTAAAAGAGGAAACATCACGATTAGAGGATTATTCGCTTATGACATCAGCTCTACATGAAATAAGTTGTAATTGATAACGATATTATGGGTAGTAAATCAAATGTCGGGTTCCTAATATATTTTGGAAGGTGGAAGAATGAATCAAGATTGAAGCAGCCTGATATGGTTAATATGTACCAGGGGCTGATTTAAGCATATTTGTATTGACTCAGCCTTCCAAATAATCTTATGAGATAGCAGCTATTACACTCGTTTCACAGTTGAGGAAACGGAGGTAATAAGTGAGAGAGCTGGTGTTCAAACCTAAGCAGTGTGGCTCCAGACTTTGAGGTTAACTATTATGAACACCCAATTTTTTTTTCTATCATTCCCATATTTATTAGATATTCTGGTTTGGTCCATAGGAAGAATTATTGGAAGTGGACAAACAGGAAATGTTGTCTTTTCAATTTGATTAAATTCATAAAGTTTTTCTTCAGTTTGAAATTTATGCAGGTCAGCCACTTTGAAGTAAAAGATTAACCTAAGTGTATAATTAATAAACAGACTTATTTCCTGCATCTTGTTCACCATGTGAATCCCTTCTACCAGTGAGTTTTTTTATGGGTCATGAGCACTCCTTTATGATTTCTTTCATCATCTCTCCAAAGTCACACTTAAAATTTTTTTTCCTGAAATAAGCTTCTGATTTCTCAGCTTTATTCCAACACCATTGTTTGGAATATTTCTCCTGTATTATTGTTCTCTACTGGTGGCAATTCTTCCATGACACAGTTAGGAGAGCTATCCAGGGAGATTAAGTTCCTGTAGTTCTCCAGTAGCCTGTCTTTGTATAAAGCTCTCTGGTCAGGGTCCAGTCATATCCACTCCTCCACAGAGAATTCTGCAGCCACAACCTGAATGTCAGAGGTCCTGAATAAGAAGCATTCCTTATTCCCTTGCATTCCACATCCTCTTCTGCTGGGTATCTTCCTCATACAACCCAAGGCTTTAGGAGTCAGTCCTTCCTTGGTATGCCTTGGTATGAACTCTCCACGTGGTCCAACTTAATCAACAAAATCTTTCAATTGAACAGCAAAACAGGAAACTGGTGAGTGAAGCAGGATATGGATTGCAGGGGTTTTTATGTCATGATGAAGATACAGGCTTTATCTTTTATGTGATAGGGGAACTTTCTAAAGCATTTAAGCATCTGAAATTGTGCAATCACTAGATCATTCTGGCAGCTATTAGAGAGAGGATACAAATGGGACAAGGTGGGGGAAGAGCAGTTAAGAGAACGGTAGAGAAATAAGGTAAATGTAGCTAGCAATGGTGATTGGATATGAGAGAGAAAGGAGAGGAAGAATTTAAGGTTAATTTCTGAATTAGGTGGTTGAGTACTACTCAGTGGAGATATGATTAAGGAAAAGATAAAAGGATTTTTGGACATACCTAGTTGAAAGATTCCTAGATTATGTCTAAGTGATGATATCCAGCATGAAAGTCTTGGAAGATGGCTGAACTGGGGGACAGAATTAGGGAATCACAAACTAACCCATGGATGGAGAATGAATGAGATCACCAAGAAAAAACTTGGCAAAATAAGAAAAGTTATGGGCCAATGATATAGTCCGGGAGAATTCTAATATCAAACATATGAACTCCATGGAGACAGGAATATTTGTTTATATACTGTCGTAACACTAGTTACTCCTGGTATATGGTAGATATTAAGTATTTTTTGAAGGAAAATTTAATTGGATAGAATGAAAACAAAGAGCCAGTATAGGAAATGATCATTCCTATGAAATTTGTATTCATTATGTAAAAGCTTTCTAAAACAAACAAACAAAAAAAAACAACGGAATACATCAATAAAAAAAAGATGATCAAAGATGTACAAGAAGAATTAAACATTAAGGAAGTTGATGAGAGCAATTCATGTAATATATGAAAACTTGTTAATTTGGTCTTCTTTTTAGGAGGTTATAGCCATCTTGGCAAACACCGATTCTGGTGGATGCTAAGGCTGGAAGTTTGACTGTAGAGGACTGAGCATTACCTGGGAGCTTAGGCAATGGAAGTAACAGGTGTGGGCGATCTCAGCAGTTAGCTGAGCCCAGGCATACTTCTCCCTACCCCCACCTTCTGCCAACCAGGCAAACAACTCCTAGATGTTGCCTAGGCCTATTAGGGCCACCTGGGGAGCCTTCCCAACTACTTGACCTTCAAGCTGATTGGATAAACATATTGGTGCCAGTGTCCATTCTGTCCTATAGTTAGCATTCCCCAGAGTTGGTTACGCCCCTTCTACCTGCCCCTTATAACGTACATGCCTGTAAATAAACATGGACATATTCACCAAAGCCTTTCCCGAGGACTCTGTGTGGGAAAAGTCACCGCTGCTCTGCTCATCCTCGACAGTGTGGCTTTGCAGACTAAGCTGCAAACAGGTACATATGCTCTGTTGAAATCTGGGTGAGAAGAAAAGCTGGAAAACTGCAATGCAGCTGGAATGTGGATGCAAGTGAGGAAATAATTTAGGTCTGGAAAGATTTGAACTCATTTACACACCAAAAAAAAAAAAAAAAAGGCTGCAGGTATAAGAGAGAAGACTGATTCATTTTAAACAGCTCATGTATTTATTAAAGTTGTTTACTCTTCTCTGGCCTAGAGTCGACATAATTCTATCTTCAAGAAGTAGAGTAATAGAAGACACTTTAATCAATTACTTTAACAAACCTGTAATTATGATGAGAAACTGCATAGTGCTGTGAGAATTAATAATGGAGAAATGGCCTGAGCAAAGGTTTGAGAAAGGTCTTACAGAAAATAAACTTGATGTACATGATAATATACATTAGAGGATGTTTGAAGCAGTGGGCACAGTAAGCCCATGGACTTTGTATTTCTTTTCTTTTCTTTCCTTTTTTTTTAAAGTTTTTTTTTTTTTTTATTTATTTGAAAGAGAGAAAGATAGAGACTTCCATTCACTGGTCACTCTCCAAATGGCCATAATGGCCAGGACTGGGCCAGTCGGAGCCAGGGGCCAGGAACCTCACCAGTGTCTCCCACATTGGTGCAGGGGTCCAAGGACTAGTGCCATCCTCTGCTGCTTTCCCAGATGCACCAGTAAGGAGCTGGATTGGAACTGGAGCAGCCAGAACTCAAATCAGAGCTCATATGGGATGCAGGCATTGCAGGCAGCAGCCCAACCTGCTGTACCACAAACCTGGTCCTGGGAGCTTATATTTCAAAACAGCATGAGTATTAAGGAATGAAGAGGAATGAATGGCAACCAAAAGAAGAAATTCAACAAAATGAGACTGGAAAAGTGAATCAGGACAAGATCATAAAATGTCTAATAGTTCATTTCTAGGATTTTGATATTTTTCCTACAGGCAATAGGAAGTCATAGAAAAGTTTTAAGCAAAGGGATATTATTATATGGTTATTACTTTACTTAATCAAAAATAACCTGAAAATACAAAAAATTGAATGCATAGTACAAACCACTGTTTTTTTTTCAACCACTTGAGAGTTATTTACTGACTTGTCCCTTTATCCTCCAAAACTGTGAGGTGTACTTTTTACAAACAAGGACATTCTCTTACACAACCAAGACACTATCATCAAAATCAGGAAATTAAAATTGATGCATTATTACCATCCAATTCTCAGACCTAATTCAGGCTTTTCTAATTATCTCTGTGTCTTTGTAGTAATAGGATCTAGCCAGCAAGTAATTGTTTCATTTAGCATAATGGCATTTTAGACCCCTCAGGTTGGAAACAGCTAATTCTTCCTTGACTTTCAAGATCTGGACACTGGTGGAGACTACAGGCCAGTTATTCTGTAGGCAACTTTCTGTTTCAGTTTGTCTGAAGTGTCCTGAAATTTAATTTCGGATTGTGCATTTTGGGCAGGAATATAATAGAACACTGTGTTCTTTTCGTTGTATCTTACCTGATGGTCCCAAATTTTGATTTATCCCATTTTTAGTGTTAATTTAGATTGTTTGGTTATAGAGGTGATGGTGAGGCTTTTCTACTATACAGTCATATTTTTCCTTTTTGTAATTAGTAAATGCTTTGTGAGGAGGCACTTTGAGACGCTATGGTTATCTGATTCCACATTAAATTTTCAATTTATTAATTTATTTATATTAATATGAATTCACAAATGTCTGTTTCACCCAATGGGTTAAAATCTACTGCTAACATTTATTTAGGTCAGGGGTGGGGAACATTTTTTCCGCCAAGAGCCATTGAGATATTTATAACACCATTTGGGGATCATACAAAATTATCAGCTTAAAATTTAGCCTGCTCTGTTTGGTCAAACATTTAATTAACTCACTTTTAATGTGATGGCTAGAACTTCTCTTCCTCTTTTTAACATACTTAAAATGTTAAGATGTTATTTGCAAAGTTTTTTGTTATACAGAAAGTAACAATGCTGTTACAGTCTCAGTGTAACTGGTAGCCATGGATGGCTGACTTACCAATCAGAGCTACCCAGGCTACAGCAAGACTTACACAAAAACCTAACAAAACTCACAGTTTTGTTTGGGTGAGTCCCCAAGCTTGGCAGTGGAT